GCGAATTTGGAGCCAAGTTCCATTACGGACAAAATAGCAAAACAAAAACACCAGGATCATGTCAAGCGGGTTAATGTAAACATTTTAAGACCAAAATGAGGATCCCAATTAAACCAGCTGATTCTTGATTAACAGATAAATGATATAATATTCTTTACTTTTCATATGATACACACTGCAAAAACCAAACAGCACATCTTTATGAGAAAGGGTAAAATGGAATAAGAAGTTGTTTATATGTTTTATAAATTCTTTCCAAAAACACTCTGTCTGGGCAGGTCCAAAAGAGAGGTGGTTTCATTTTTCATTTCACAAAATGTATCGTTTGTGTCCATTGCCCTTCTAAGATTATTCTTTCCTGGATAACAGAGATGTAAAAGTTTGTAGCAGATTTCCCTTTGCTTGTTGGTGATGAGATATTTTTATGAGGTCAATAGAGTCAGGCTGCAAACAGTGCATGAGTAGGGCTCTGTTTGGGAGGTGCACTTGTGGTTATAGTCACTCTTTTCCCATGGCGACTCATTATAAGGCAAGTTTAATTGAAGATGAAGCCAAGTAAGTTCCTTTTGAAAAGTTTTTCAGAGTTTGCTTAAGCCGCCATCTTCAGGTGCTGGCACTGTCCTGCCACTTCCCCAGTTTAGGCTTCTGGCACCACTAATGAAATCACTGTGCATGGATAACCCTGTCGTCATATCACTGAATACATTTCAGAATGTCTAATAAACAAAATGTGAGCTAAAATGTGTTAGATTAATATTACCGAGTTTGGAAAATATCAGAATGAATTTGCATTTTTGTTTATTAAAGTAAAATGGCAAATATTGGTAGAGACTATTTTGTCTTCCCCAAATATTGGTTGTGACATGTCCCCACTGTCCCTGTGCAAACCTAAGCTCTTGGAGGAGCCTTCAAACAAAGTGAATTGAAGCCAGACTCAATGGAGCTGGAAGCACGCCTATTCTCACTTCCTACTTGGAACGTGACAACTAGCAGGTTAGCTATGTCCATGAAGATATACAGTCTATGGGAAGAAACTGTATGGGCTAAAACAAGAGAACTTTTAAAGGTGCACTTTGAACTATGGAACTTATTAGGTGATGGGTCCACCACTGGCTTGTCTCTATGAAGATATCTTTCTTTGGGAATGTTCCACAGTTTGGCATTATACCAGTTCCCATTTATTGCAGACTCTGAACACTTTAGGTTCAGCGGGTTCTTGTGCTGCACAATTTTGGGAAGTAGCATTCTGCTCAGAGTGCGCATTGTAAACAACTCCAAGAGCATTAGCATTTGAGAGAAGACTGAAATACAAACTGCTAAAGTAACTTAAAATACAATAATCCCATACATTTCCAACCATGTTTTTACAATCTATATATATAATAAGATTTTTCTCTTATCAAAAAATAAATAAATAAATAAAAATAGGAGCCTTTCCGATTTATAATTGTACCAGTTCAAATTGCTTTTTTGATTAAATGTTGATATATAGAGCAGCTCTAGGTGGTTTATTTCTTGTTCTAAACCTGTTCACTTGAAGAAACTCAAAATGAATGCGTATAACAGTAACTAGTTTTATAGCACACTTGCTTTGTTACTTGATGTTTTCCCATGCAGTTAGCCTGTGTGAATCTCGTCTGCTCCTCATCTTAACATCTTAAACTCTGTCATGAGAGCAGTCTGATCTTTCCCCTCACAGCAGGCTGGGGCGGATGGCATTTTGGTGGGATTGAGTCGGAGCTAACGCTAACACCGGCTTGTAACAGTAAATATTAAACACATCCAGCTGTCGCACTCACATAGTCCTCTCTTTCTGTTTCTCTCTCGCTTTCTCTCTCTCTCTTTCTTTCTGTTTATATCACTCTCTTTTTCTTCTCCTTTCTCATTCTGCCTCTCTCTCCTCTTTCTCTGTCTCTTTCTCTCTTTATATCATTCTCTTTCTCCTCCTTTCTCATTTGCTCTCTCCTCTCTCTCTCTTCTCTCTCCTCTCCCACTTCCCCCCTTCTCTCCTCTCTCTTTCCTGTTTGTAAACCTTCGCATCTGATACAGGCACAGCTCTGCAATGCATTAGATTAGACTAACAATTCTCAAACTTTCAATAATTTGTTTTCATGAAATATTTGTCTATTTAATTTTGATTTGTTTAAATGTAACTTTTCTGAAGATGGCTCTGGACATTCCGGATGGTTTGCCTGGGATGTTCCAAAGTATGGCATTAAACCTGTATATCTACATGAAGACAAGCAGGTAATACCACCAGGCCAAGTTCAGATCAGATATTTTTGATGATAAAACACCTGTAGTAGGAAATTCCTGATCGATAGGTTTAATGCCATACTGTGGAGCAATCCAAACAAAGCAATAACAGTTCCATGGCAACAAGCGTGTAGCTGGTCCCTAGATGAAAAGTTATATGGTGCACTAGTTTTGCTTTAAATTCAGTTTCAACCTTCAGTCTGACTAGGCACCAACTTTGAACCAGGTTTAAACCACAGACTAAAGTAGGTCTACACACCAAACATCCAGGACTACAAACCAGAAAACAAAACCAGGGCAAAAGCATCAAGTCATTTCTAAACCAGGACCAGTGGTGTTAAACAACTCCAGGTCTAAACCAAGACTGAACCGGGACTGAATCAGGACAGGACCAGGTCTAAACTAGGTCAGTGATTGAAGAACATAGCACATGGGGCTACAGTAGAATAATGTAATGCAAATGGGTCAACACAAAGAGGACAAACTGCAGTGGAGTGATCAGTTTTGTACACCAGAAAGAAGAGCTGCTCAGATAAAACTACATCCAAACATCCTTTCACAATACGTCAGGATCAAATGGAGTGGGTAAATACCCTCTCTGTCTGTTTGGACAGAGAGGGTAAAAAGTACTTCATTCAGTTCAAGTATTTGTTTATGAATGAGACAGTACAGTTAATCATGCCACTAAATAGTTAACTGATACCAGGTACTTCTGTAGCCACACTATACACACAAGTATTTAAAAGGGGGAGTGTAATCATGAGTGTGAACTACTTATATATACACAATTAATAATCTAGTAGTGGAAATGAAACCACTACAGTGATGTGCACCTACCCATTGGAGGTATCAGTTGTTGTGATGGTGTTTACAGTACGCCACGGAAATCAGTGAACTATTTTTTTTATTATTATTACGATGAATATAGCGATTCTCTATCTACTTCTCTATCTCCATGGAGATCAGCAAATAGTCCCACCAGGCCAAGTTAAAGCTCAGATCTGTGGAGAGGTGGCCATGCTAACAGTAAGAATGCACATTTTTGTGTAGTTTTGAAAAATACAAACACCCATAATGGATAAAAATGCTAGACAGAAACTTTTAATTCCATATTGTCAAGTAATAGCATGTCTGCAGAGACAAGCAGGTAAAGTGTCCTTCTCCAAAAAAGTGACACAGTGCTTCATTAAAGTAAATATCTTAAGAGTACATTTCACTCAACGAGAAAGTTACGCAGTACACCTTTAAGCACCTAAGCAATTGTACTTGACTGAGCTAGTTCACCTCTGGTACATTGCATGACTTTCCTTCTCAACACAATCATGTAATTAATCCAAACACGCCGTAAACATGCGGGGTCTGGAAGCCGCTGCCCACAGAGACACAGGTTGTTCCCGAATCGGCCCAATTGTTCCCAGATCTGGAGCAGAAGATTTCCACTGCGTCATGGTGCAGCCTCCTGGAAGTAATGCCTCCCTCAGAAGAGCCATGTGCTATAGTCCTAATGTCCTTTAGAACTGTGTGTGTACCTGATGTCAAACATGACCAGACACATGACCTGCTGTGTACTCTGTGTATGTAATGACGGTAAATTACACAGCACCATAAAATCTAATAGAGCGAGTGTAAATACAGTTGCTAAAAAACAGGACTATCTGAAACCATACAAGTCTTTAAAGGACCTCTATGTAACTTTTCAGCTTGTCTTCATGACGATGTTCCACAATATGGTATTAACTTCATGGAGACAAGCAGCGATGCCAGCCTGTCAAGATACACGTCAGATCTGTAAAGAGGCAACCCCACTCAGAGCATGTTTGTCAAGGGTTTTTATTTGATTTTTTAAATTTTTTATAGTTTGGAACATTCTAGACAAATTGTTTTTTGCTTCTTCTGTCTCTATGTACAGATTGATTTGAAAACATGTCAGATGCCCTCCCCTTTCATACAAACGCAAATTATCACTTTGAATGGGGTGAGTGATTTGTCAAAAAATATATATCACTGTTTTTGAGTTGCATTAGTATTAGTATTGAAATCGCATTTGCAATTTTGCTATCATGACAACTCTGATCACATCTAACTCAGTCTCAACTTTTAAAATGTTTTGCATGTCAAAATCTCTCTCTTTTCGTACACATTTGCGCCTTTATCTGTCACTTCCCTCCTCTTTCATCACTGCTCCCACATTGTGACTGAAGGGGCAGAGCACAGAGGAGCAGATGGGCTTAGAGATCTTTGGCTCAAACAGAAGTCACCAGTTCAATGAATCCTGACGTTCATTTCATTTGCTCAGTGGCGTTTCTTGGCAAAGGCAAACTGGGGTCCTTAAAAGTTGAATATCTATTGCTTAGCTTCAGAATAGTATTACATGTGTGTGCATTTATGTAGTGCGCTTTATTTCTTATGTTATTTCTATGTTGTACATAAATGTTTCATTGGGGTTTCTTGGCAAAGACAAACTGAGAAATCTTACTGGCTCCAGCAGCAGCTAGGGGTCCCAAAAAGCTGAATGTACAATCAACTAGATCAGAATGATGAGAAATCAGGACCACGGCCATAACAATAAATAATTTAAAACAAAATATTATGTCTTTGGGATGGTAAATTGTCCTCAAAATGTTAACAAGAAGCTCAAAACCATAAAAATAGAAATGGCTCTAACTGCCCCTGCCTTCCACTACGATATTGCGCTGTGTAATGTACATGAAGAGCTAACATTATTTCTCTGTTTCTTGTTGCAGCTCTGCACGAGTTCCCCACAGACCTGTTCACAAATGCAGAGAGAGCAGAGGGGGCGGTGGCTCTACATGTCCTCTGTGTAAGTTTACTCTACATGCTCCAAATGTTATTGGACAGAAATACAAACATGTCAAATATATATACAATTAGATTATCTGTTCAGATTGTTGCAAATGTAATAGTTACACATTGAGTAACATCATGAGATTACATTGATTATGCTTGAATTTATTTCTGTATAGTACCTGGTCTTCACTTAAATATAACGCAAAATCTGAAATTTGAAATCTACTTACATGATGATGGAATCTTAAAGGCAGCTCTTGCCAGGACATGAATGTTTTCAAGGTACTGTATTTCTGTTAGCAATTCATAAACCTGTAATGGAATACATTCAAGATAGATTCTATACTATAATACTATAATATAATACTATACTTCACTAAAAAAAAAAGAACAAAAAAGGTTCCGCTGCATTTTGATTTCAATTTATTTCTGTATTTTATAATTAAAGGTCCTATATTATGCTATTTTTCTGGTCTATGTTATAGTGTTGTTTCCTCATCAGAAACATACCAGTTGTGTTTTGTTTCATTCACACATGTTTAACACACAACACACTCTTAACACACTCTTCACTCAAATGGAAATGGTAATACAGAAAGTGCTCCACTATGTTTTTAAACTCCATACCCCTTCACTAAAATCATTTGGATAATTGCAGTCTTGGAATTGCCAGTTTCTCTGTTAACTTGAAAACTACCGCTTCATGACATCACAATTTGGAATAGAGCATTTTGAGCTGTAGACGTAGACAGACTACACTAATAATACATGTGTGAATGAAACAAAATACAACTCCAGCTATATTTTTGAAGATAAAACTGCATTATTACACGGCTTAAAGTTCACATGTCCATTTTGCATAATATAGGATCTTTCACTTTTTTTTCTCAAAATCTTCACCATTTAATGACCATAAAAACATATTATTTTATCCAATTAAATAAAAAATGTTGCTGTGACTGTCCACTCCTTCTCCTCCTTCTTTCCTCCTACTGTAACAACTCTTTTTCCATCACTTCTCATGTATGCACCCCCACGCTCCCCTAGCAGGATTCATCATGAAGGGTCAGGGGACCCCCTGAAGCAGCAGAAGCAGACACATATTGTTCAGAACATGACAACCTCTCCATAGCATGTCCAGTGGTCTGTACGGACAACTCACTAGTGGTCCACGTTAGCGTTCACGGGACCCTACATGTGCAGAACAACTGAGCACAGCTGTATCCCTCCTGAACATGCGTTATATTATCGGCAAAGTGACTTCTAACTGTACCCTATATTGGCCACCCTCTGAGTCCACCCCTCACGGCTACTGCAGAAATGAGGCAAATGAAAGTAACCTTTTCAACAATACTACAGAGAATCAGAAATAGAAACATGTCTCATCGCAGCCCATTTACTTGTGTTGTTTAGCCCTCCACAGAACACACTGTTATGGTGCACTCCGGGGGTCAAAGCACATTGTATTATTCTGCTGAAAATGGCCTGCTATGCCTTTTCATACAAGATAGAAGAGCAATTGGAGATATAATTTATCCTCCCACTGAAACAAAAGTCATTATTTACAGGAAAAATAAAACCTGACCTATAAAAGTAGTATTTCACAGGATTTTTAAATTATTTTATATTACACTATACCTGGAGTTGTGTTTTGTTGCATTCACACATGTTAAAAATACAAACCCTGTGTATTCAGAGTTCTTCCCTGAAATGGAAAACACTCTGTCCCACCTTGTGATCTCATGTGAGTAATACAGGAAGTGCTTTATTCATTGTATTTTTTAAACTCCATACACCTTCAGTAGAATCATTTGGATGATTTCAGACCTGAAATTGCCAATCTCTACAGAACTAAACGTAAAATGTAGCGGTTAACTTGAAAACTACAACTAAATGATTTTTGAGCCATGGAGATGTAGACAGACAAATAATAAAGGATTGCTCAAACATGTAAGAATGAAACAAAACACAATCCTAGATGTGTTTTAGGAGGTAACAAGAGTCCATCATGACTAAAAGCTCAAAAGTCAGTTATGTAATATAGGACCTTTAATGTGTGGTCCATAGTGTTCTTAGAGTAATTCTCCAATGCTTTATACTTTGACATTTAGCAATCAATGTTTATCATAGCGTATTTTTCTTGGCTATAATATGGTAAAAGTGTAAACTCCATAATGATTTAAAGCACATTCAAAATAAGGGCAATGACAAGTAGTAAAGGATGTTTTGGTGCAAGTGTCCTGCTTCAGGGCACAATAGCCATATCCACTGGTGTAGAATTTAACCACCAATGTAAAGGTGACCGGGCTCCTAAAATTTTCAAAGCTAAGGTTACAACTTTCTCTGATAACCTTTGTACATAAAATATAAAATGGTATCTTTAATCTCACCTATTGTTACTCAATTTCAATATATTTCACCTGCAAGAGGAGACAAGCTGAGACAAGCAAGACTTGACAAATCTAATGAAAAGTGTGGCAGTAGAAAGTCAAGTTATTTAAAAAAATATATATAATCATACTAACTTCTGCTACTTTTAAAATTGTGCCTGTTGTACGTGTAAATATAAGAAAAGCAAATATGTTTCTCGCTGTCCTTTTGATTGTCCTAGTAATTTTTTATCCACACTGCCTGCCCGTTCAGACTGTTTATTTTGAGTGAGGTCATTAAAATCAGATAAATCTATGCTTAAGAATAGAAAGAGTCTTTATAGTTCAGCCTAATGCCCCAGAATCTAATCTCAAATACCCTTTTTGCCCTTCCATGGATCAGCTCCTGGTGTAATTCACTTGTCCTTGTCTGAAGCCCAAATATTCCCTCCAGTGTCACAACATTGGTGCAGGGTTTAACATAATGTACCATGCACTCACTGACCTTTGCCTGTCCACACTTCATCAATAATCATATTTACATCTGATTTATGGTCTTCAATGTGACCTCAGAGTAGATGTACCAAAGATATCGGAGCATAAGAGAGGAAAAGGTATTCAAAGTATTTGTATAGGAGTGCAGTGTACGCCACCTTCTTGTCTTCATAGAAATATTATTGCTTTGCTTATATTCCACAGTGTAGATTAAACCTATCTATCGCTACTTTGCAAATCAGATCTGTGGAGTCACCCTATTCACACTGGGGATAGGGATGATTAGTCGATTAATCGATAATTGATCATTAATGTTAATTTTTTATCGACAAACCGAATGTAGGTTGCTGTGTGTATTCCACTGAGTTGTGTCCTTTAGTCCAACAGAAGTTGACTGCATCAGCGCACAAGAGCTGTTTTTTTCTTGCTTAGTTTATGCAAATTAGCCATGTGCTTTTAAGTTTCGTTTCTGTGAGACTTGCACAAAGCTGCATTAAACACATTCTAATCTCAAACGGGCTGATGTGGCTCTAGAATGGTTATGGTTTATATGTCGTAAAGTTGAATTTATTTATGCAGATTAGTAGTGCAGATAGTAATAATAATGATTATAATTTTAATATAAAAACTTTAATGATTAATCAAAAATCAATCATTAATTCTTTGATTTAAAAAAATTAATTGCCCATCCCTGATTGACACAAGGGGTCATAAAATTTTTGAGCAATTGAAACACCCATAATGAATAAATGCTAGATGTAGATGTTTAATGTCATAACATGGGAAAACATTTACATCTCCATGGAGACAAACAGGTGGTGAACCCTCCACCCAAAAAGTTACATAATGCAGATTACGAAGAACTATATTAAAAATTATTCAACATTAAGACGAATCACTAAAATTACAATTTAAAAGTCAAGTAAAAAACATAAAATAAAAGCATATTGAGTCAACTTGAGCACAGGACCTGAAATACCATTGTTACCATTACAAATTGCTATGTATTTTTATATTTTCCCATAATGTAGCCTACAGTTTCCTAATTACAAACATACCTGGACTTGTGTTTTGTTTCATTCACAAATGTTCTCTCAAACAGAAAATGCTTTGTTCCACCTTGTAATAGACTTAGACAAACTTTATTGATCCACAAGGGAAATTACATACAACAAACCTTATTGATCCGCAAGTGAAATTCCTTTGATGCCACTCCACTGTGTTTTTAAACTCCATCCTCACTAGAATCATTTGGAAAATTTCAGTCCTTGAATTGCCAGTCTCTACTGAACTAAAGGTAAAAGGTTACTCTTAATGTGAAAAATACATCTTCATAATATCACAAGGTTTATTATTTTGAGCTTTGGAGATGTTGACTTACAAAGGTTTACTCAAACATGTGTGAATGAAACACAACTCCTGCTATGCTTTTAAGGTGGTAACATTATAACATGCTTTAAAGCTCACAAGAATTCATTTTGTGTTCTGTAGATCCAATTTTAAGATCCAAGTCCTGCAGTACCTGCCGGGCATACTCCTCTACTGGGTCACTCCCTTTTCTGTAGTAGTAGTAGCAGTAGTAGTAGCAATATAAAGCATTACTAGTAAGGTAAGATAAGAGAGGGGAAATTGCAGGAACGCTATCCTAGAGTGGCCTTTATTCAAGCATGTGATAATGCTCTTTTGTAACATATTAGGGCACATATGTCGAGGCTGCTTTGCTGTGACATATGGTGCTGGGGTTACAGATGTTGACATACACAGGATTATAGCAGCGCTGCCTTTTATTATCCCACAGGAACACAGCAGTAGAGAATTACAATACAAACAATTGATGTTTATTATTTAACATGGACACAGGAGTTTTGTCACACAGTGAATGTATGTATATGTTTTCAGATTTTTTCCCTTCCTCTTGATCTCAAATAGTCGTCTTTTGTAACCTAGTGATGGTGTTATTTTTGAATGCTGTTTTTTTTTTTTTATTTGCCTTGCCCTAGCAGCAATCATTGTAGAGTTGTTTAAATGAATACGATTGTATTTTTAGACAAATACTTACCTTTTATATATTCATTACAATGTACTTGAGATTTACCGTTCTGGATGAAATTTTATCTTACACAGCTAAACAGAACAACACATAAATACATTAAATTTACCAAAGTGCTAATTTAGTAGTAGTAGTAGTTGTAGTAGTAGTAGTAGTAGTTGTAGTAGTAGTAGTAGTTGTTGTAGTAGTAGTAGTTGTAGTAGTAGTAGTAGTTGTAGTAGTAGTAGTAGTAGTAGTTGTAGTTATTGTAGTTGTAGTTGTAGTAGTAGTAGTAGTAGTTGTAGTTATTGTAGTTGTAGTTGTTGTAGTTGTAGTCGTTGTAGTAGTTGTAGTTGTAGTTATAGTTGTAGTTGTAGTAGTTGTAGTAGTAGTAGTAGTTGTTGTTGTTGTTGTTGTTTCATGTGTTGGGTGTTGATGCACTGAAGGATTAATAATGCCTTTATTACAAGATTAAAGAGCTGTGTGCCTTATATATTTAAGTTCAAAGTTCACATTGGTTCTTTGTTTCATTCACTCATAAAGTTCATTTCTGCTTTGCACTGTGCTTTTCATATACAATAACCCCAGGGTTGTTGAAAATGCCAGTATATTTTAAAAGTGATATTTACAAAGGTTATATGAGGAATGAATATTCAATGTTTAAAATGCAACATACAACAACATATGCATGCGATAAGACCTGTAAGAAACGCTGTGTCTTAATTATGGAGCTACAGAATTTAATTTTTCATGGCAATTTACATATAAATTTAATGAGAGCGAACAAGCTGTAAGCTAAAGTAAACTTGAATGACTTCCAGAAAAAGTTCATTATCTATTTGTGAAATTGACTTCAGCTTTTTACCACGTTGTAGCGGTGTTCTCTCATCATTACCTACTCAGTGTTGCACTTTGATTGATTCTTGCTGTCCAAACACTTTTCACCAATAAAAAAACATAAAAGAAAATCTGTCAAATTGTGATATGAAGAACAAACTTATTAGTTCTACAATTTTGACCAGAAAATCATGAAATGGTTTCTATCGCTAAAATGTTCAATAATAATACCTTAAAAAGCCTAATATGTCCTCTTTAATTATAAACTTATTTGCCTCTGGTTAAACTCTCCACGCCATCTCCACACATGTATAAATCATACTGATCTATATTTTACTCTTGTGTTTATTATTAATGGTGCATCTCTTTCAGACCATCTACATGTTCTGTGCTCTGGCCCTGGTTTGTGATGACTACTTTGTGCCGTCTCTGGAGAAGATCTGTGAAGTATGAACATGCTAATGTGCATTCATTATGGATAAAATACCATCATACATATCAGTCAGTGGCTCAGTGGATACTCATATGGCCGCTCCCTAACGCACAAACTAGATTCCATGTTTATTTAGAAGTGTAAATGTCAAAATTGACACAGTAAGATCATCTAAACATATGTAAATGAAAGAGAAAATGTAATGGAAATGAAATGTAATTATTGACTGAAATTATTTGGGTCTGGAAAACATATTTGAAGCAAGATTAATACGTTCATACAACATTTTTTTCTCCCTTGTAACATGTGAGCTTAGGCTGATCTGGATCTACACTACTTTAACACACATCACGTGTTTTAGACATTAGACGTAACATGAAAACAAGTGATATTTGACTGTTTTGTTATCAAATGTTTTTGGGAAGTAAACAATATTTATATTACTGTGAAACTGAAAAGCTTATTTATTTGTTTTTATCAAATTGTGATTGAATTGTGATCATTCAGAAAGTATGAGTGTGAAATTATTTAGAAATGTGTCTTTGTATAACTGGACCTGGAGTTTTGTTCATGTATATGCTATGCTCTCACCTCCACAGCGCCTAGATCTGAGTGAGGACGTCGCCGGGGCAACCTTTATGGCAGCTGGCAGCTCTGCACCTGAACTCTTCACATCAGTCATAGGTATACAGACTCTCCACCTCCTACTACACAAAAACATGATGAGAAGGCTGTTACTAGTCTCTTCTTACAACCAGAAGCATCCTAGTTCAATTCCCAGATTGTGTGGGATATACTTCTTGCTAACCCTTGTCTGAGGCCCTTAAGACTACATGCTTTTACAATATTTTACAATTATATATAGTTCAAAATAGAAGGAAAGTCTTGAATTCCAATAGACCTGATTGACAGGCAGATTAAGCAAAACACATGGTCTGGCTCTGAAGTAAAAAGGAAAGAAAAAAATTACACAGAGGACTGAGTACAGCAGGGATTTGTGCAGAAGCAACAAAAAATACACTAACCTGTAAAAGATAATATAGATTTTGTGATGCTTACACATTTGAGAGACACTCTCTACAAATAAGGATCTGTGATTGAGCTATAAGTATTGTCGTGACAAGTCTGTGATTGGATTGTCCCACAATTTTATGATGCTTGGATCTTACTTTTTAAAGTGTACAAAACTGTAGGCATATCTTCGAGCAATTGATACTTTGCAGTGACATCGTGCTGGGGGTTTTCTAAACATTCCACCATTAGAGATACATGTAGCAGTTACCGTGGTTACATAACACTGACAATAAAGTTATACGATTGTCTGAAAATTTAAGAAAAAACACAAAATAGATTTAAACAGCTCATTTCCAGAAGCCTGTGATCAATATGAGTGTTCATGGTCCTGTTTAGGTGTTTGATTTTCAATAAAAAGGTGAGAATGACTAATCGAAAAACTGTTGACTAATGCTATCTTGTGACTGTAATTTTACGTGTGAGAGACTTGTTTAACAGCACATAAACCAGCTCTTTCTGGTCAAACTGGGCTAAAATAAAGCTCAGATTACAGTATATCTTGAGCAACAGAGCTTTTTAACAGAGTAGTGCTTCCAGTTAGCATCACACCCCCAGGGAATGTTGATGCTGCAAAGTACTTTTAGAGAAGAGTTCCTGCTCCAAACTTTTGCCCCAGCAGCCTTGAAGAATGGGTTAAATACAGAGAAAGAATATATTCATCTAAACCAGGGGTCTCAGACTCGCGGCCAGGGGCCAACTGCGGCCCTCTTAAGGATTTTTTGCGGCCCTCCACTTAATTCCAAAGAATAATGTCAGTGTGTGGTAGATGTACGCACAATCCCACCCACCTACCGCGGGCCGCACTGACAGATGAAGCTGCAATCGGTGCCCGTGCAGATTCGCAACAAGAGATTATTAATGCAGCTTACATCACAAAACTCAATTTACAGTAGTTATGAAGCAACGAGTCTAAGTGGATCTGTTAATACGAATACACGTGTACATACGGCATTTTTTTTCTTGCAACCACTATTTATCGAATACTCAATGCGGCCCAGCCTCACTCAGACTTTATCTAATGTGGCCCCCAGGTAATTTGAGTTTGAGACCCCTGATCTAAACTAAATGGCATGTAATATATTTAATTATTATGCTAATTTAGAGCTACGGTCAACTACATGAAAAAGATGGTAGATTTGCTTCAGGTAAAATCAATATTTAATTTTGATTATGTGATCCATGCCGCTGCTGTGTCTCTGTGATGAAGAGGCTCATGTGTGAATCTTAATGCAACCTTTAAAGCCCATGTCCCACAGCGCTCACTGTAAACACATGTGACTTTTAACATGAATTACATTAGAATTACATTAAACCAACGCGTGTCATGTGCCCTCGTTTCTCTTTGCGCATATTCAATTCCTTTAAAATATTAAATATGAAGATTATATTTACTGTTACATAAGCAGATTCCAGTGCATGCAAACTTTTAATTACATTTCGTACATATATATAGTATATATATATAGAGAGAGAAAGGCACAAATATATCTCCATGCATGAAACAAGTAAGTGTCAGTGTTTGCTTTTGACCATTGACATGCCCCTTGTCTATGTAACATCTAATGACTGTGTACAAGAGACAGGACATCTGTAAAACAATATATAATCATATTTGGAACATGCATTAAAATAGCATATTTTCAAATTCATTATATGTGATGACCTCAAATGGTGATCATCACATATATAAAATATTATTTCATAAACACTGAACCTGACCATTTCAATTAATCAAGATTTTTATCAACAATACCACCACACATCTTTAATATAATCAAATATATTTGCATTTTTAAGGTTGTATATTATGCAAAATTGACTCTTGTTAGCCAGTTATAATGTTGTTACTACAACAAAAACATACCCAGACTTGTGTTTCATTTCACACATGTTTGAGTAACCTTTTGTTATTAGTCTGTCTACTTCTCCAAAGCTCAGATGCCATGTTTCACCTTGTGATGTCATGAAACATTAGTTTTCATGTTAACCCCTACCTTTTACCTTTAATTCTGATAGGAATTTTCCAGCCTGATGTCACCCAAATTATTCTAGGTGTTCAGAGTTTTAAAACACTCTGGGGCACTTCCTGTATATTACCACATGACATCACAAGGTGGAGTGTATTCAGTTTGTGAGAAGAACTCATCTTAAATATGCAGGATGTGTGTGTTAAACACATTAATGAAATAAAGCACAACTCCAGGTTTGTTTTTGGTGTAGAAATAACATTATAGCATAGATCAGAATATAGCACATTATGAGCCCTTTAATGTATATACATGATGAAAAAATGTAATGATAAGTTATGAAGTGGTCCAGGGATACAGACATGTGTTGTAACTGCTGAGTGAATATGTCTCCCCAGTCTCCAATGTTCCCACTTGATGAGTCAACAGTTGCCTCCTTACATCCTTTGCTCACTTGATTCCTTACTCACTTCCTCACTTCCTTGTTAATTTGCTTCCTTATCTCCTTCCCTGTGTTCTCAGGCGTGTTCATCACTAAAGGAGATGTGGGAGTGGGAACCATTGTTGGGTCTGCTGTCTTTAACATCCTCTGCATCATTGGAGTATGTGGCTTCTTCGCGGGACAGGTATGACATTAGAGAAAATATAAATTTACAATTTGCTTATTTATTTATTTGACAGAGACAACACAGTCATATAGTCACAGGCAGAACATGCAGCTGATGTGATGCATTTAAAGTTTATAGCTATTGTTAATTTTCAACTCCCTGGCCGGGCTTTTCATACGCTCAACAGTTCAAAAGAGTTTAAAAGTGTAATCTTTAAACACAATTTGACAACATTGCAGTTTCATGTTTCAGATATTCTCACATTCAAACACACATTCATAAACACACTCAATACTTACAAACTTTGGTTTGTTTATAAGCAGGACTTGAGCCTTGAGGTGAATATCTTAAGCTCTGTTATGCACTTTAGGTTAGGTGGTAGTGAGTTCCATAGTTTACCAAATTGATATGAAAAGACTGAATATCCAAATGTGGTTCTGTGGTGTGGGATTGTACAGTTGTTACTGGAGATGCTTCTGGTGATTCTGTTGCTTGTTTGTCTCTGAATAAATGTACTTAGTGGCTCTAGTCCTAGATTATGAATGCATTTGAATATTAGATTAAGATCATATAACTCATATAGTAATATAGTACAGTAAGATTAAAATATAATAATATCTAATTAAAAACAATAATTTTATATATTCAATCAAATTCAGTAGATTTTTCAAAATATAGGTGTACTGAAAGAGGACAGTGGATACAAAGATGGTATTAGATTGGCAGATATTTAGCTATTTTTCCCTGAAGGGAAATAGGTGAAAAGGTAAAAGATATAAATAATTAATTTGAAGTGCAAAATATAGCCACAGGCACATGAGTGTTAAGTGCAGGAGTGTTGTGAAGTACAAAGAGCCCCACACAGTATCTGCACCTACACATGTACCACACAATCAAAACAAAGAAGAAGAAAAAACTCCCTCACGTCTGTGTGTGTGTGTGACAGATGAACACTTCAATATCAGTAACATTATTAGAAGTTGTGTAATAAGTCAGAGGTGGTGAGTGGTGGTTGGAGAAGCTGGTGGCACAAATTAGCAACTTTGTTTCCGTCAGTCTGCCCCAGGGCAGCTGTAGCTACAATAATTACTAACCACCAATGTGTATGAAATGAATGAATAACACACAAAATTGTAAAGTGCCTTTGAATGTCTGAAAAATTGCTATATAAGATCAATGCAATGTTATTATCATCTACTAAATATTTTTTTTTTCTGTTAAAAGCACACGCATTATACGTTTTACTTCCATCTCTTTGACCCTATATATACATATTTAAATGCATTTATTTGTTGCATTATATGAATTACAAAGTTACTATATGAACCCAAGCATGCAGCCTAAAGGGAAAAATCTTTTTTGTACTTTCTGTACTATATCCAGCTCCAGTAACGGTTATGTTTAAGGGCATCTTGAATAAAGTTTATACCACAATAATATGCAAATCTGAAAATTTTCTATGAACAAAGCAAAGTACAAATTCACTATTTGCATTTATAACATTTGTTTCATAATATTAAGACTGTCTCACATTTGTCTCACAATTGTTTTCTTCAATTCCACCACAAAACCTCCATGCATGATGTTTCTTGTGTAGATGTTGTATCTTCCCTGTGATCATGAGAGAGGGGGGGGGATCAGGACCTCACATGGAAATGAGCTCAGAACGAGGATAAGCTGCGCACTGAAAAATCTATGAGCTGGACTCACACCGTAATGCAATCCCAGATTGTGGATTATATAATCATATCAGATAATGAGAGCTGCATAACGGGAGCAGATCCAGATGTGGCACCAACTACAGCAAAAGGGCTGTACTTTGTTATGGTTTACCTATTTACTTTAAAGACATTAACTACAACTAAAATGAATTTAATTACAAAAATGTATAAACAATTTGGAGAGTATTTTTATTAGAAAGTCTTTGTGTAAGTCAATTGTGTTAATAGAAGAAATCTACTGTATATTGCAATCAATTTTGCTCTTCTGGTATTGAACATATTTTGAACAATCATATAAATGTGTGTTAACTGTGTTTTGTTAGAATAGGTAGTCAAATAATAACACAGTGGTTGTCTTAAAGCCTCCTGACCTGTGCTCCTGCATGTGCTCAAGTTGTGTGGGAGATTATGAATTAAAATTGCCTGTTAGTCACTGCATTGTGCTTCTCCTCCGCTCCTCGCTCATTATATAAACTCACCTTGGCTGTATGTAGGAAGTTGTCATACAATAACTTTCAGTACTTCAGAAGGTCATGGGGGTGCTGGTTTGTTTACATCAGTATGGTAATGATGACAGAGGCATTTGAAAAAAGGAGAGGAAGAGGAGGCTGATCATCTTCTTTTATCCCTAGGCGGTGAAGCTTTCTCATTGGGCTCTGCTTCGAGATTCGATCTACTACACCTTTTCCATTGTGGCCCTCATTGCTGTAAGACAATGCGTGCACAAACACTCACATATGTTCAGGCAGTTGTTAGATGATTTCAGATTACATAATAGTTCTGTATTTTCTTATATATAACATGTTCTCTAATATAGATAGTCCTTATATTTAATAAACACTCTGCATATACATATAGTGGCTCATTATTGTAGATTAGATTAAAGCCACAGTATGTAATTTAGCCAAAAAAAATAGACTTAAAGGTGTATTGTGTAACTTTTCTGGGGGAGGGGCCATCACCTTCTTGTCTCCCTGGAGATGTTATTTATTTTCCTGAACTGTTCCGTGTTTGACATTAAACACATCTATCTAGCATTTATTCATTACAGGTGTTTCTGCTGCTAAAAAATACAATAATTCTCTCTGTGAATAGGGTTGCCATTCCACAGATCTGACCTGTAATGTAGCCAATAGTTGTCTCCCTTGAGATACATGTAGATAGGTTTAATCTCTACCGTGGAACATTCTGGACAACCCAATAACATCTCCCTGAAGACAAGCATGTGACAGATCCTACACAAGCAAAGTTGAGCAATGCACCTTTAAGTAAAAATATGCTGTGTGTTTTTTTTTTTTTTTTTTATTTGGTTGGTGTTTATACCGTAACCTGGAGGCGGGTCACTTCAAAGAGGTTCATTTTGGTCTTCCAATATTATTTTCAAATAAAGGTTCTTATTACAGATCTGTGTGTTTCGAGCAGGATCTCCTCCTGCTTGTTTCCATGGAAATGTTGTTCCTTTGACTATAATATTCCATAGTATGGTGTAATAAATATCTTATCTCCATGGAGAATGTGTGGTTAACCTGGTTCACCTCCAGAAAGTTACATATTGTAGTATGTTGTATTATTTTATTATGAGCAAAGACTTCCATGTAAAATATATGTAAAGTTTTATTGAATGTGAATGTGTTGTTGAACAATCCCTCTTTCTGTTATTTGGGGGCATTTTAACATTTTAGAAATCCAAAGATGGCTTAAATTTAAGATGTATTTAAATGTGTAATATTAAATATTATTATATTATTAAATAATATTAAGTAATATTTCATATGTTTTCTATTGATATTTAATGTTTTCAGTTTTTAGAATCAGAAAAAAATTGTTTTGAAATAATGTAAACCAATGCAAAGCCAAGTTAGTTTCCAATCTAGTTTAAAGGAATGGTTCAAATGTTTTGCTTCTGTACTGTGGCCTTATGCTCCCAGTGCAAAGGGTCAGTAATGCCCTCTAGTGTCTTGTTATTTCAATTGCAATGTGTGATACTTCCAGACAGATATGTGGATACAGTTCTGATCTTCCCTTTTATTGAATTTTTTCAGTTTATCTATGACGAGAATGTGTGTTGGTATGTATTTTTATCTTTTATATTTAAGCTTTCAATACCTTTTTTTCTAAATTCATCTTACATTTGTGCAGGTGGGAGTCGCTGGTTCTTATACTTATGTATGCAGTCTACATCCTCATTATGAAGTAGGTTTCTCCGTAATATCTGTCCATATTTGCATGTAGCCGGAATTAAGTAGAGATTTCTTATTTCAATTAACTTTTTTTTTTTTTATAGTTTATTGAATTAATTGTGCATCTAAAAGATCTATTATATCACCCCGTTTGTGACAAAGTGGTAAAGGCAAAGTTGACAATATTCAGTTCAATTAATTTAGACTGTTGCACATTGATTTTCTTATTATTATTCATTTTCATGACATACTGAAATTATTAAAGGGCCCACATTACAGTGTTTTCTGATCTATGTTATAATGTTGTTTAATCATCACAAACATAACTGGAGTTTTGTTTCATTTACATGTTTAACACATGAACCATACATATTTAGGCTGAGGTCTTCTGTTCCACACTCTTTTCCACCTTGTGATGTCATGTGGTAATACTGGTGCTCCACTGTGTTTTTAAACTCTGATCACCTTCATAAAATAATTTGTATGATTTCTGTCCTGGAATAGCCAAACTCTACTGAACTAAAGGTAAAAAGGTAGTTGTGAACTTGAAACCACCTCATGACTTCACAAGGTGGAAGAGAGCAATTCAAGCTTTGGAGTTGCAGACAGCCTAATAAACCAGGATTTCTCAAATGTGTGAATGAAAAAAACACTCCAGGTTTGGTTTATGAGGAGGTAACAACATTTTAACATGACTTAAAGCTGTCAAGAGTCAAATTTGTGGTTTGTGGCCTGTAAAGCTGAATTATTCAATGTTTTTAAATAATGAATAACATGTTTTATTGCATATGTTTTAACCCTCAAGAAAGTGTATTGCAAAAGCAGAAATTATTGACAGACCACACACTGTCTTCATCTAATTAGAAAACTTTTTTTTTATTAACATTGTGAGAACCAGCTTTAATGTTATGTCAGCCACACAACATTCACAAAATTATGAATCAGATATGGTATCCAAAATGTTGAATAATAATTTGGATTACTACATTTTACTTTTTTGAGTAATAATAATAATATTCATTTTAAGTAAGAAACTCTTTGCTCAAAACTGTTTTCAAGAACTCTACCAACCTCTGCATGCACATTACATAACAACAAATTGAGCTTGTCTCCCATCTCTCTCAGATTCAATGGAAGGGCACAGCGTTACTTTGACCGGCGAAAGAAGGGCTCGGTGAACTTGGCCAATGGTCTGACCGGCAGCACAGACCTGGACGATGCTGTCAGCTGTGATGCTACTGCGGTGCTGCTAAAGAAAGGTAATGAGATCTCTGCTTTCTCTGCCCTCCAAAGGCCTGAATGTTTCATCTGCTCATCTCATCACGCTCACATTTGCATAATACAAAGACAGAAGGGACACAGCGGATTAGCTATTTATACTTGTGATAACCTAAAACATGTGAGACTGCCCAAGTGAGGTTTTTACAGACAAAATGAGCATTCAGTCTTAAATGAACCAGGATTTACAATGGCCAAAAGTCAGGAATTATGCAGGACTTCAATTGATTGTTTTCAGTTTCTAAATGAGTGTACTATGTAGCTTCTGTTTGTCCCCATGGAAATTAATGTTCCACCTGGACTGTTCCACAGTATGGCATTAAACATATGTATCTTTGATAATTATTATATTTTATGTATGCCTATATAAATTATATTTTCATAGGAAATTACTGATAGGAAAATCTACAACTAACATTTCCATTTGTGACTGTTTAGATGCATCTTACTATATAACTCCACAAATCTGCACATTAACAATGCACATTTCAATCCTCCATCATTTATACATTTTAGACCTATAAAATGTTCTAATGTAATTTGGAAATGAGCCACATACTCGTATTTCGAAGACTGTCCTATGCATTGGTAAGACCAAGATTAAACAAGGTATAAGCTAAAAGTAAACCCAATTTAAAGCAAGTTTAACCCTAACTGAACTAGGAGTACTAAACAAAACACTGCACAACTCCACATATCAACATTTTTTACAAAGTTACTTAGAAGTGTGTGACAGCTTGGTTTGTTCTTAATACTCCTCACGGTGAAAGTGAGTCTGCTAACTGGGCCCACAGGGTTTTCTCTCAGAGCAGTGAAGCAGCTAAAGGTGTTCAGACAGACACACTGTTTGGATGTGCTACAGTCCAGCGCAGTGACCCAAAACTTAAAGGGGCACATTTGTACTTTTGTTCGGCCAAATTTAATCTAATTCTAATCTAATTGTCAGGTGCTTTGATATCATAGAAACAATTGTGAGGTTGTGCTTGGTAGTTTTGTAGCAATACTAAAACATTTTTATGATGGACAGTCAAAGGTAATTTTCCAGCCAAATATAACAGCACCATATAGTAGTTTCTCATTGCTTTATTAAAGGTGCATTGCATAACTTTTCAGGTAGAGGGTCTGTCAAATGCTTTTCGCCATGAAGATGTTATTGCTTTGTCTGGAATGTTTCATAGTAAAGAATTAAACCTTTATATCTTCATACTAGACCAAGTTACAGGTCAGAATCTGTCAGAATGCCTGTTTTTCTAAGTATTTTAAGTTATAAAATAAGCTTGAGCTTTTTAATATCATACTGTGGAATATATTGGACAGAGCAATATATCAATAGAAACAAGCAGGTGACAGACCCCAAACCAAAAAGTTATGTAACTGAAATTATTGAAATTGACATTGAAATTAATCTGTTTAATTATATATTCAGGTTGGTTGCTGGTTCGTTTGTACTTGGATGGGAAACTGCTGGGAAAATCAGGTGCCATGTTGTTGTGACCGTAGGCAAGGCACTTAACACACATTTTCTAGTATGAAAGTGGAAGACGAAAGCCAATCTGCGCCATTGGCTTCCAGTCTGTCCCAGGGGAGCTGTGGCTACAATAGTAGCGTGCCACCACCGGGTATGGAGTGAATTAATAATGCTCTGTAAAAGCGTCTTTGTGATATATGTCTGTGAAAAGCGTGACATAAATAAAAACTTACTTATCTAGGTAGCATCAGCGTGGGTAGCATTGGGTAGTCTCTAATTGATAACAACCAGGATACTAAATGTTAAAGGTGCATTGTGTAACTTTTTGGTTGGTTAGGGGTCCATCACCTGCTTGGATATGCCACTGCTCTGTCACAGTATCACATTAAACAGCACTACCTTACATTTATTCAATTACAGGTGGTTTTACTGCTCAAAAATACCTAGAAAAACAGGCATTCTGACTGTGAACAGGGTTGCCTCTACACAGATCTGACCTGTAACTTGGTCTGGTTTGATGCCAAACTGTGAAACATTCCAGACAAACAATAACATCTCCGTGGAGAAAAGCATTTGTTGGACCCTACACTAAAAAAGTTACACAATGCATTTTAAGTGTTTGTATTACTATCCCTGTACATGTGTCATCTCCACTACCTCAGATTACCAAAAGGAAAAGTGAGGCTAATGTTTTGTATTTTATTTTGTGTTTTATTTTGTGTTGTGTTTTGTGTTGTACTTTGTGCGTAACAGCAAACTTCCAGTGCGCTCCATCAGTGCTGATGGTGGATGAGCTGTTGTCTGCGTACCCACACCAACTGTCCTTCTCTGAGGCTGGGATGAGGGTTATGATCACCAGCCACTTCTCCCCCCGCACACGCCTCACTATGGCCTCACGCATGCTCATCAATGAGGTAAGAGGTTTTAAAGACAAGGCAAGTGTATTTGTCTTGCCGAAGTAATTCAAAGTTCTTTACATTAAAAAGAAAGACAATAAAATCACAATATAAACAAATCAAAGTCTGGTTTAAACAGTATGCCTTTGTTAAGGTTAAAGCTGCACTATGAAACTATTCTGATAGAGGGTCCATCCTGGTTTGTTAGTTTGTCTATATCTTCAATGCTCAAAAAGCTATGTTGCACTGTTTGATTTTATGAAGCGGTAGTTTTCAATTTAACAGCTACCTTTAGTTCTGCAGCCATTGGCAATTCCTGAGCTGAAATTATCCAAATACTTTTAGTCCTCTTTTAGGCCCTTTAATATCTTTATCTTATGACTCCAAAAAAAAAAAAAAATCATGTTTTGCATATAACCGAAGTGTACCTGGTTGATATTACACTTCAGTTTCTTCACAGCCCTTTCTTATATATATTTTCCAGAGACAAAGACTGATCAACACTACAGAGACTCGGGTGAACCGCTTCACTAATGGGGACTCGGAGCCCGTCCCCAGGTCCCAGGGCAGGTGGGGTCTGGAGAATGGAATCAGTGCCATAGAACAGGGTCTGAACGGGAGGTGCAGACTGCAGAGGCTTGAGTCTGGGAACGAAACAGAGAATGAGACAGATGACAATGACAACAACGAAAATGAAGGAGAAGGAGAGGAAGACAGCAATGGGCCACTGGTGCCATTCAAAGTGCCAGGTACAAAACTACTACTATAGTAAAAAGAAATCTCCAGTGATAGTGTATCATTACTGTGACAAGATTCAATGAGAATTTACAATAGTTGGGATTGCAGGTGATGCATATGTCCATTCATTCTGTATACCTGAAATGTGAATGAAATTTCAGAACATTTCTTGTGATGTTAAAGAGGTTGTACCTCTATTTATTCATATAATGGTAAATGGTCCCATTTTCATATAGTGCTTTTCCACCTTCAAGGCACTCAAAGCGTTTTACGTCGAGGAACCACTCACCCTTTCATACACACACACACACACACACACACACATTCACACACATCTCACCCTCACTGTACGCAGACACTGTGTACACAGACGCACTGCCAACCTGTGGGTCAGTGCATCTGACCACTCAATCAATGTTTATTAAGTCAAGAGTGGGATTCAGTGTGTTTTCAGAGTGTTTTCCCCAGTAGCCAGTACTAGTAACTATTGTTATTGCGGCTCTTGAGGTTAAAATGAGACTGTCTACATCTAATTATAAAGCTTTGTATTCTCAATTTACCAGGAAATATGGAGTTAGTATGCTAGTTGTTGTTAGCATTACCTTGAGGGTGAAACTGCTCTCTGGCCTTCTGGTGCCAGAATGTTAGGACTGTGTTAAGACACAAAGACCCAAAGGCGTCTGAGATGCACAGTGGAAATGTTGCAGCAACATCAGCTGCAATATTTTTGCTGCAGCAAAAGTTGAATGTCCCCCAGGATCAATAAAGTATCTCTCTCTCTCTCTTCTGCAGCTGACTGTTGTAACAAGTTGAAGTGGCTGTTCATGTGGCCTCTCTCTCTCCTGCTGTTCTTCACTGTACCAAACTGTTCCAAACGGCGCTGGGAAAGATGGTTCATGGTCTCCTTCTTCACGGCTACCATCTGGATTGCTGGCCTCTCCTACATCATGGTGTGGATGGTGAGTGCACCGGGTCATGTGACAGCTTTAAGGGCCTGAATCCCATTATGAACCATGAGTGTTGTAGAATAAAATGTAGTAGTTGAGGCATGAAGTTGAAGCATGATGTTGGAGTTCTAACACAGGAGAAATTCATTTACTGCCAGTATGGACCCAGCACAGACCTGGCTATGCTTCTGTTGTAGGAAGTATTATACCGCTGATGATACAGGCTAAGATAAGAGGGACTGAGCAGTGAGAGCCCTCAGTACAGCACAGAAATTGAATTTCTTTAACAATGAGTCATGTTTCAGAATGAGCTCACCACTTGGTCTGTTCTATCACTTTGATGTTGAACCATGACACAGAATCAAGTGTCTGGAATAGTCAGTTGTTTCTGCATGGTTAGACTAAATAGTCCATGTCCATGACAGTTGTTTTCATAAGGTTATGGTTCTCATCAAACAAAATGCCTTTTATCTATCTCCATGAAAAATTAACTTAAATAAAATAACTTTAACTTAACTAATAACTAAATAACTTTCTATTTCTATGGAGGTGACGTGCCATCTCCAGAATGTTACATACTGTACTATTTTTTTGTTTTTTTGTTTTTCTTTTTTTTCCCCATTTATTTTCGTAACTCATAGTTGTCAGAGGCACATTTTAAATTTATCCAATCCTCCTTTACAATTCAATAATGTAACACTAATCTAGCTCCAGTGCTCTATTACTAGTACATGTAATTTCTACAAGTATGAAACATATTTTTTGTTTGTGATTTCTTTTCAGGTGACGGTAATTGGTTTTACACTTGGCATCCCTGACGTCATCATGGGCATTACCTTCCTGGCAGCAGGCACCAGTGTCCCAGATTGTATGGCCAGTGTCATAGTGGCAAGACAAGGTACAGTCACACACAAAAGCTGGAATACAGCTCACTAAATATTTTTATACAAGCGTAATGCAAACATTTCATAATATAATAATAGAAAATATTTGCCTTTTCAAAGTACCATTGTTTACAGAAGAATTAATTACAATAATATAAAACAATACATGTTTCAACTTCTGGTCTCGGTTGAGGAATACATAGGATTGACAGCACTACATCATCACTTCAATATTTCCTGTCCACGTGGTTCATAATGTACAATTTAAAACAAAATATTATATCTTTTGAAAGGTAAAAGTCCTCAAAATGAAATTTGAAATGCATTTTGTTTAATATCTTTCCATTGTTGTAAGGTGACCTGGAGAGTCTAGACAGGCGCTTACCAAATGTACTATTATGACTTTTGAGGGCAACATGTCTTGAGATTGCATGAGAATGACAATGTTGTTGTTATTGTCCTTGTCACAGGTCTGGGGGACATGGCCATCTCTAACTCCATCGGCAGTAATGTGTTTGACATCCTGGTGGGGCTGGGGCTGCCCTGGGCTCTGCAAACACTCTGCATCGACTATGGCTCTAATGTAAGTGCACCAGAAAGCACAAGTATATACTAGTAGTGCACCCAAAGTTAGGTCTGCAGTTATTCTAATTTTAATCTTGGTAAACAGTATCCTGTATTACAAAGAGCTAAGAAGAAAGTAGAACCCAAAACGAGTAGGTAGAATAGGGGTGTGTCAAGAATATAAATATTTTGTGATTTTGTCTTAATTAGTCAATACACTATTGATATCACAACTTGCTGTATCGATGTGAGCATTTTTGATACTTTACACAAAACCAAGTTGAGGCGGAAACTTCAGCAAATGTATCTTTTTTAGAAAATGTGAATATATTTACAATATGTAATACAGGTAGCATATTTGATTATTAAATTAATCATTGATAATATAATGGGACCCTGTAATTCCCAGTCATAGGCAGAAACATGGAGGAGCTCATTTACACCCACCTCAACCGTTTAAATAAAAAAAATACATAAAAAAAAAGTACTGCTTGAGTATAAAAAAAAATATGCAATAATAATATTTGTGTTTCCTCAGGTCCATCTGAACAGTAGAGGGCTTATCTTCTCTGTGGGGCTCTTGTTAGCATCAGTATTCTTCACAGTAAGTCTACTCCAGAATTTGATCAGAGACCAGTTGTGGAAGAAGTACTCATCTTGTTAAAAGTACAGATAACAGAAAAAAGAAAAGTATTTAAGTTTAAAAATGTACTTAAAAACTAAAAAGAAAAAGCATTTTCCACAGATTTTGGGTTCAAATCTATACATTTTGATCCAGATTTGTGCTTTTTTTAAAATGTGTTTGCTAAATTTATGAATGTGTTAAAAAATAACCTTTTCAGGCAGCCTCAAGCAACAATAAAAAAAAAAAAACTTTTATTTTTCAGTCCTGTTCAAAAATCTAGTGGAGTAGAAACTACAGATGCCTGCTCTAAAAAGTAGTAAATTAAAAGCAAAAAGTAAAATGTAGTAAAGTACAGATACCTAAAGATTTCTCTTTCTTTTTTAACCCTTTCCTATCCCCTATACTTGCAGGTAGTCGGTGTTCATTTAAACAAGTGGACTCTGGACAAGCGGCTGGGGCTGGTCTGTCTGCTCCTGTACGCTGTCTTTCTGTGCTTCTCCATCCTCATCGAATTCAACGTCTTCATTTTCGTAAACCTTCCCATGTGCCGTGACATTCACTGACCCCTTCGTCACTTACTCCACTGGAAAATTTTGGAAAACCATGCCTGGATTTCCAATGACTTTTTTTACCGAATATAGAGCTTGGTATAATTCATCTTTGGTGCAATACAGACAGTGAGAGAGGGGGCGTTACTGCTTTGAGGTACCAAAAACAGGTCCAGGCAGAGGAGCAGGCCCGTGTCAATGCTGATGAATGGAGAAGCTGGACTAGAGTCAAAAATTGAACCCAAAATGACAATTATAAGCTCATATTGGTGACTTGAACATTTCTGATCGATGGAGGAACTGAAATCCAGTGTTTGGCAGCGATCTTTCGGCTGGATTGTTTCTTACCATTTGTACAAGTTTGGAAATAAGCACACACAATATTTAAAGTTGTACACAAGGGAAAAGTATTACAGTACAGTAAGTATTGATCTTATGCAACACTGGAGAGGTCTTGCGAAATGTAATGGTCCAAATGTGTACAGTAATTTGTGGTTTGTGAGTCTGAATGTCTGATGGTAACCCTATGGAATCACTCACTATGTTAGTTCTAGTTTATTCTATTCCAAATAATTTTGCATTATCAACTAATATCAAGAAACCAGACTTTCACAAATAATGACATGAGGACCTCTAGTGGTACTAAAGAACTTTGCAGGTGTAGATATTTTTTCAATTCTTTACAATTTGTATATATATAGCATTTTGGTATGAGGTTAGGTCTTGTTTTAAAGGGATGTTGCTCAAATGTATTATGAGATTATTATTTCATATCCTACTATAGTTTTTGAGATACTTCTGGATAATATATTTGAAAATGCATGCATGTACAGTAGACATGCATACAGAAGCACGATACAAGACAAAACTGATGGGGAACAGCTGAAAAAATGCTGAATTGTATACCGGTGTGTTGTTGGTAATTTGGTTTAGTGTCATTACATATTTATTAACATCTTATGAATGAATACATGTGAGTTATCCTAATGTGTTACCAATGCTGTTTCTCTTGCTCAAAACCCACCACCGCAGCATGTTTAAATTAAGATTTAAGTTTTGCACTGAAGGACAACAACTAGGTACTTAATACTATATCAGTACAGTACTATTCCTGTATTAATATTCATATCTGACTGTTTAACTAATGCATTTTGTTATGAAAGGGATCTCAACGGAAAGGACACCCAGCACTGTCACTTTATAAATATAGAAACTGTATCATTAGAAATCATCTTAACATGTAACTACTGACATAAGACCTCTGTAATATATTGAATATATATTATATATAAATTGAAATTTAGTTTGTAGTTTCTAAATATTGTATAGTATATTATTCTTAAAGCCAAAAGTATTTTTAGAATAGGTATAAGACTGCACAGTTTGTTAGAATGAATGGACATTGAGTGGGTGTGTGTCTGCCTGTTGTTTATGCATTTTTGTCACAATCTTGAAACCAAGGTTAGATTCTGGGAAAACATAATCATGATTTATTTATGAATTAATTTATTCAAGGATTGTGTGAAATACCCAGTTTCAGCCTTCTGGACCATACAGTCAATGTAATGTGTTGTTTATATTTAAGAGTAGACATTTCTAATTTATAAGTTTTGTATAGTTTGAAGAGATACTGCTACATTTGTATATGTACAAAATATTTTAATGATTTTTAAAGGTGACGCACAGCATGTTAACTCTGCCATGTCATAAGTTGCAAAGGAGATTTTGTGTTTTAGTGGGAGAGCTGGAGAAATGCTATCTCCATGACTTTTTAATAATGTGTTGAAATTGTTGGTAAATTAAAGACGCACTGTGTAATTTTTCTTATGAGGGGTATGCCGCCTGCTTGTCTATATGGTCTTTGGGTTTGCCTGTAAAATCCCGTAGTTTGGCATTAAACAACATATCTATCTTGAATATATTCAGTAACTTTTTTTAGGCTTGGTAAACGTTCTAAGCATAAACTGTTTTCTATTTGTGCCGTGATCAAATAGAAAAGATACAGTATGATCAGTGCCAAAGTTGTATTGTAGATTTTAACAAGAAGGGATGGAATTATATTTTGATAGCAATAAAATACATTTGGCTTTGAAAATATTACTATACTTAAAGTAAACTACAAGCTTCCAATGACTTTTTTAAATGTCACTTGTCTGGTTTTCCAAATAATCTCTTCTTATGTAAATGGACATAGCTAACTTGCTTGCTTGACTCAACATTTGCTCCTATAACTGCTAACCTTGTTTCCACGGCGATATACATTTAAAGTCATATTGTGGAACATTCAGATTTAGACAGATCAATCACATCTCCATGGAGACAAGCAAGTTGGCATTCCCTCCATCACAAAAGTTACCTAGTGCACCTTTAAGTTTTTACTTGGTATTAAAATCCAGTTGTTGATGCTAATATGACTGCTTGTGGCTATAACTTGCCTGTATTGAGCCAAGAAAAACACATTTGTCAACAGTATTGCCACTGTGTTTCAGCATGTGTTAAATAATGAGTTTAATTTATTTTTATTTACAATAGTTTTTTTTTTTTTTTAAATGAGTTTAAGTTGGGGCGTAAAGGGTGCTGTTTTAACTGCAGCCACACGAGGGCGCTGCACGGCTGTGTCACATAATAGTGCTTGGTTTTTCCTTGTAGATAGAATATTGAAATCTTTGGTCAGTTTGCATGTATTTTCATATTCAGATTGTTTTCTTGTAAAGTTTAGAAACTTAATTTTTCTGTACACATCAAAGGGATATTATTGGACACAAACACTGGGCTAATTTCTGAAATACTCACAATTTAATACGTGTTAAGGCCTACAGGAGTTAGTTTAAAGTATTAAATGTTGTTTTATGCTTGTTTATGTAAACTATATTTGTAAATCTTTATTTTTAACAAGGAAAATGAAGAGTAACATGCATTGAACTGACTTCTACGTTTTCTTCAGTTGCTGTTTGCCTAACTAAAATTGGCCTATTTACAATAATTATGAAAAAATAAAGTGAGCCTGTGTAGTAGGCTTCTACAGCATCTCTGTGTCTTTGTTTGACTATAATGTAGGCCTATTATTTAGCCTATTTGATCTCAATTAAGCTTAGTCATTTTTATTAGTCTAGGTTTGGCTTTTAAAGGTCACCAGCTTGACACCTAAGCCTACATGTATAATGATATATTCTACTTAAAGGTCCTTTATTACGCATATTTGAATCGCCATGTTAGAATATTGTTGCCTCATCAAAACACACCCAGAGTTGTGTTATGTTTAATTCACAAATTAGTTTGAGTTTAAGTAATCCTTTATTAGTCTGTCTACATCCCCAAATCTTAAAATCCTCTGGTTCACCTTGTGATGTAATGTAGGCCTGGTGGTAGTTTTTAAGTTAATAGCTACTTTTTACCTTTTGTTCAGTAGAGATTTGGCCGTTCCCAGGCTCAAATCACCCAAATGATTCTACTGAATGTGTGTGTAGTTTAAAAACTCAGTGGAGCACTTCTTGTATTACCATTAGACATTATAAGGTGGAACAGTGTTTTCTATTTGAGAGAAGAGCTCAGCCTAAATATGCAGGGTTTGTGTGTTAAATATCTGTGAATGAAACAAACATAATTCCAGGTATGTTTGTAATGACGAAAAAACGTCATATAATAAAGATTTAGCAATTACCATAATATGAGCCCTTTTACCAATGACAAAATAATAAATCTATTCTAACGCAATATTAAACAATACACTATAGCCTTTCTTAATCCTGGTCATTCCAACATAGTTACTGATGTAAACAAAATACTCTCAGCAGATGAGGGATGAAAAGTAACCAATCAGAGCGCAGAGTTGTGCCTGGAGCACCGCCCCCTTCTCATCTTCCCACTTTTCTTCAGCCGAAACCGGTTTTTGTTGTATTAGCTTCGTGCCCTATTGTAAATATGTATCTCCAAAAGTAGGTCTGGACCTGGAAACTACACGGAATAAGAAAACGACCTTCAGATCACAGTGCACAAACTATGAAGTCCGCTAAAACAAAAGGACAAAACAAGACGCTGAGGTGGGTAAAACTTTTTCAATTGTCTGTCTCCATTTTATTAATAACATGATAGTAATACTTTAATACATTTTCTTTCTTTTCTCACTTTTGCCATGTTAATTATGGTTAAAAAGTAAAAAAAAAAAAAAAAAAAAAAAAAAAAAAAGGAGCGTGCAGGCTAACCATGCATGATGTTTTATTGTTTGGGGTGCCAGATTGATCATAAAAGGCAAACTGGTATGGGAAGAGTCTTATTCCTAGAAAGCGTAAGATTTATGTTTAGGGAGAGTAACAAAATTTGCTCATCGCTTAAAATTAAACTGATTAAATGTAAATCTACGGCATTAATGTCAAAAGATCCCATCAAAACTTTAAAAGAAGCAAAAAAATGTCATGTAAGTGCGTATTGACGACTTGTTCAAACCTGACTAGAACTTGCTCAGTACATTCTTACCTGTATGCCCCAGTTTCTTCAGTTTATAAAGCAAGTTTATGTGTTTGTATAATATTAATTAGAAATAGCACAATTTCCTTTTATGAGCTGCTTTGGAATCTGTTAAGAAGATTATATTTGCATTGGTCAGAAAGACTTAACTTTTTACCCAGACACCAATAAGTAGTAGGCACATTTGAGGTGGAATGAATCATTTGAGAGGTATTTTTACACAGTATTATCTTGTAAGGACTTGAGTGTACATTTTAAGCAAAGCACACCTGTTGGCATGGATTCTGGAAAAAGATGTAATTTAGAGGAAGTTATTGTATTTGGAATAGGAAATACATTAATACAATCGTTATCATTGTTATTATAGGGTGCTGGTATTTTATTGAAATAGAAGAGGTGTGTTTGAGGAAAGTAAGTTGTATCATATATAATTGTGTTGGTTTCTCATGAGCTTTTGGAACTAACGTTGATAAAATAGGACATAATTCATTTTTAGGTTAGACCAAAATGGCATTAATGAACAAAAAAGTGCATAATTAAGTATGAATTATTATTATTATTTCACATTTTCAATTTTAGTATTGATTAGTATTTTCAATACTTTTGATATCTCTACTGGTGATGCAATCTTGGACTCAAGGGCACTCAAGTTACCAGAACCAAATATATTTCTTTTGATTAATGCTTCTTATTTTATTGTCTGGTTCTCTCTGAGCATTGCACGAAGAAAAAAAAAAAAAGTATTTAACAAAGTCCAAACCTCGAGTCACAGAGGTCATATAGTATGAATTTCCAATCTCAATCCTATCTACTCTCTGTTATGTCTATCAACAGTAAGGCATTTTTAAAAGTAGTAATTTCTGGTTTAAAGCAGGGCTGTGTTATGAAATGTATGACCTGAGGGTTGAGTCATTTGAGCGTCTCCATTGGGCTTTCACTGAAAAAATGAAAACGAATCATTTTGACTCCCAATCTTAATTTCACAAGCATAGAAAATTATACTTGTAAAGTGGCTATATTATAGTCTGTTTTCTGATCTGTTATGTTTTCCCATCAAAACTATATCTGAAGTTTTGTTTTGTTTCATTTGCGTATGTTTAACACACAAATACTGGATTCTCAAACTTGACTTGCTTCATATGGTAGTACAGAAAGTACTCCAGTGTGTTTTTGAATACACCTTCACTAGAATCATTTTGATCATTTCAATCTTGGAATTGTCTAATTTCTACTCAGTAAAAGGTAAAACGTAGCTGTTAATTTGAAGACAACCACTGCATGCCATCACAAAGTAGAACAGAGCATTTTGTGCTTGATGTGGACAGACTAATAATAAAGGATTACTCAAACATGTGAATGAAACAAAAAACTCTGGCTGGGTATGTTTTTGAGGAGGTAACAGCATTCTAACGTGTCTTAAAACTCATAAGAATCCATTTTGTGTAATTTAGGACCTTTAAACCTATAATTCAACTCAAAAATACTCACATTTCTTCTTCCAAAGTTAGAACTAAACCACATTTATATCAGACATGATAGTAAAGCATGAATGGTGCAGACAGAGGATTACATTCTGAGTTATTCTTACTTTTTTTTACTGAGCCAGCTTTTCAGGTAGCCCCTCCCGTCCCTCGTAACTAACTTCTGTAGAACAGATGAAGTGGAAAGATCCACATAATAATACATGGCACATTGGACTGCATATTTTCTAGAAAACCTCAGCTCATCTCAGAAATATGTATAGTTTTATAAATAGCTCCATATTTGTCCCTTGTGGGCCTCCTTACTAATTGCTTTTACCACTGATGGAGTACTATATACCTCAAAAAGGAGTTAGTGGTCTATGATGAGAAAGCATAGCAACGTGGATAGACATTGGGTATTTTAACATGTCTCCAGTGTAACAGCATCTACTTTTTAGTTTGTGGCTTTGTGATATATGTGTAGCAATTGTTTGACATCAAATCTGAGAATGACTGGGTTAACATTTGTAAGTTTATTTAATTAGATAAGATGAGTTAACATTATGTGATTTCAAGTACTAAGATCATACCAGTAGATGAGTTGCATTTGGCTATAAAATGTTAAAAGAAAATTGTCACTGATGTTTTGGAACATGGGGGATTTTTGAACAGTTTTTGTCTCTATTAATTTTTTTTTATTATTATCTTTTTTAGAGATTTTAAATGAATGTTGTTTCACTTCCTTTTCCTGTTTAACCAGAGCCTGTCTTCCACATCTCCTCTGACCCCCAAATTACTGCTTTATCTGCTCATTTGGAAATTCCTGTGCCATCTTGTGCTGATCTAAAACAGCCATCTGGACCTACTATTGCTGTTTCTCTCTAGCATACTTAAGGGAGGAGGCATAAAATAAAATATGGAAAATTGTATAGGTTTTGACACACTTTCTACTAATACAGGGCTATTCCAAAGGTTTACATGCAAGAAAGTAGACTATAAATTTTCATTTTTGCAGCTTGCTATTATGAGATGTGTAGAGCTATGATTTGAGGTTAGGGGTTTGGTCAGAGGAGTGTTTGAGTGACATTTTTAAACATTTTGTGGAAAATTTGGAGGGGCTGCATTCCTCAAAGTGCAAATGTTTTAACAACATGGGTCAGACAGTTCAAATAAACAACATCCACTGACCTATATATCAGGAGAAGCATGTACATTTGAACAATTATACAACAGCTGGCATCTTTATTATAAATATGTTTATACCTGAGTTTTGATGTCTTAAAAACATGGAAAACAGAACTAGTTCATTTTAAACATTTTGCAGTGGTCCAAAGTTATTCCTCACTTACCTTATAGCCTACATTAAGAGCAGCCTAATTAGTCAGAGCAATTGATTTATAAGCGCTTCTCACAATTTTCACAGAACACAGAAGATTTTGTTGTGATGGTAAAGCTAACGAGTGCTAGCATGCTAACCGTACACCTACTGATTATCAGACAATAAAACTCTTGTTGAATAGATGCAGACAGTATAGCCACGTTATTTTAATCTCAAGATGCTTTTACAACATGGGGCATGTAGTGGGGCATGACAAATTTTGCTGAAATAAATCAGGTACAAGGCTTTTAATATAGCAATAATGTTGTTTCCTGATTGCTTTGACCATATCCTTCAGAACAGCAAACAGTAAACAATGGCAACCCAAATGTGCTGTAGTGTTTTTAAAGTTCTTTCACCCTTATTGGACTCATTCTTATCACAGCTCTTAAATTATGTTATTTCCAAGAATCTACTGGTTGATGCCATCCTGCTAAATTCAGCAGTTTAGTAATAGTTCATCTGTTATCAAAAGAGAGTGCAGACCTTAATCCAAGCCTTGTCTGGGCACTGTGACCCATACAACTAAACAACTTGGGTACATTTAAGTTAATAAGTAGTTACTGTCATATAATGTGGATATCTTATACAAAGGTAGCACAAAAGTATAAAAAAATCCTCAAATGTTATTAAAACATCTTTGCCAACCCTATATCTTTGAAATACCTGCTCTGGTTTTCCTGTTGTGTGGTGTGTGGGAGAGTTTTATCAGCAGTGGGCTGTGCAGCTGTAGCACAGTGGACCTCAGCAGTACGCCTCTGTTGTTTTAACCCGTTACACTAAAAAGTCGAGATGTTGGATTCTTCTGAAAAATGTCAGACTTGTTTGTTTCTGTACTGCACGTGGGACTAGAAAGGAATTTGCATTATTGCATTGTGTCTGGCATACCTTTGAAGCTCAGATATGGGCAAACAACATATCATAGTTTGTCTCTATTTGCAGTTGATGTCATCAGTAATCTATGTGGGTGTGAAGCTCCTGGAAGCACTGCTCTTTTAGAAGCTCTGTTACTCAAGTTAGACTTAATATGATCTTTATTAACACAGTCGGGCTAGAAAGAGCTGAGTTGGTTAGAATTACAACAGGTGAGATAATTTGTGTGCAAAACAAGATAATTATAACAAGAAATCATAATTGTTTAAATCCATGTTGTTGGTTTTTTATGTGTGTGTTTTAAAACTTTTTTGTCTATGTTTGCTGATGTACACACTGTTTCACCATGGTAACTGCTGAACATTCTGCCATTAGAGATACATGTAGAACACCCCCAGTGTGATGTCACCACAAAATGTCAATTGACAGATAACATGACAGATAATAAGTATTTGTAGTTTGGGTATTGCCTCTTGAAAAGCATTTAGACTAAAGAGTGGCACTGACAAATGTATACTTTTTTTTGTTTCAAAGAGTAAATCCTGAATCATTCATCACTATTTTTTATTTATTTTTTTGGCCATATCGTCCAATGCTATAGGTTTTCCTCTTGACCTGCTGCATGGTTTTAGACTTAGCTGCGAAATATAGCTACTGAAAATACTGCATAGTCCTAACCCATCATTTCCTTGAATATAGAAAATAGGCTCACCACAGATTGGTATATTTGGTTACCATGGGAATAAGTAAAGAGTTGGAACCGTTTGTCTGAAATGTACAATAACTCCCATATACATAGGTCTGGTTACTACCACCATCAACTAAATAATAAACACTATCACATGGTACATTTATGTTTTTGTACTCTTTATTTTATAGCACAATAAAATGTGTAGAGAACAGAACAAAGTTAATTGAGGATGGCTTCCTTTTCCTAGTTTCTTCATCGTTTGTGGAATTGAAACCACCAGTCTAGACACCTTCACCAGAAATAACTCAGGTTCTGAAAAATTCCTTGTCATCAGTTTGTAAAATGAACCCTCCCAGTTACATTTTGTAGTAGAATTACTAAATGTTTATTTTTATTTTTATTATAGTCTACACTGTTTTAACTCTTTCCATTCTCAGGTACGTTTAATTAATTTGAAAAGACACAAGATATGGTTAGGTTAATTGTGATACAAATTCCAAGATAAAGCCCTAAAATGATTTTAAGGAGCTCTTTTTATGGTTGCAATATGGATTTTAAAGTTAACTCAATAAAGTAGTAACATCTGTGACCCTCATGGGGAGGAGAACGTGAGAAAAATCCCCACGTCTGATACATTTCAACAACACTGTATTTTGACCAAATCCTCATTGTTTTAGTTTACAGATGCATCCGCTGTGTCTGGTCGTTGGGGACAACAGGACTTCCTTCCTGTTTGAGATTAAAGTGCCCATGTGTGTGGATGAGTTCAGAGTCGACCCCCCAGGACTAATCCAGGAGTAAACAGGGCTAAAACAGGTCTAAACCTGAACTATACCAGGACTAACCAGGATTAAACTATGATTACATCAAGACTAAACAAGGGCTAAATAAGTACTAAACCAAGACTAAACCAGAACCAAACCAAGACTAAACCAGGACCAGACCAGGGTCAACCAGGACTGAACCAGGGATAAACCAGAACCAAACCAAGACTAAACCAGGACTAAACAAGGCTAAACCAGGAAAAAGCCAGGACAAAATCAGAACCAAACCAAGACTGCACCAGGACTAAACCAGGACTAAGGGGCAGGATTGGTCTAATGTTTTCAGTCTGGACTGGACTGGGGGTGGTTTGTGGGAGAGAGAGGGATGGAAGGGTGGGGCAATAGGAAAATTACTCACAGAGAACCAAAGATTATAGAGACCAAAGAAATGCCCTGATCTTTACTACTGTAGCCGAATGTTATGTTTTTTAAGACCTGGTCAACAATGCCACAATTGTCATTGATCAAATTTGGAAATATGACAAAATAAGGATTTGAAGCACTGTTGAAGATCTGTACCCAAAATGTTTAAACAAATAGGAAGAAGAAAGGTTACAGGCTCTAAAAGAACATTGTTCCATTTCCAAGCCTGGATAAATGGAGATAAAGATAATAATAACAAATTTTAATATTGTATAACCTGTCACGTACAACCTACAGTGTAACCTATGTGACCCTTTTTAAAAAAAATATGTCACTTATTTATTTGAATACTTAATGATCAAAAGCGAATCATTTAGCTGTTCTAAAACATGTACTTATGTCCATTTAACATAAAGAAAATAAAATTGGAAAATATGATATAATCTATAATCTACTTGTATATCTGAACTAAAAAAAAACACACACAAAATGCAAAAACTGTATGTACAACTACTCATCCAAATTATCTTTTGTCTGAGGAAACATTCTTTATATAGAGGAGCAGCTGTGAAAGTCTCACAAGATGGGAAATGAATTATGGCTATGCAGACATCAAAATAACATTGACACAGACTCAAGCTGGAGGAAATGTCTAGAAAACTAATGAACGGACACAATTTCTGTCCAAAAGTGGAGAGTTGGAATGACTTTAAATGAAGGGTTGAAATAATCCTGTGAAATAAGAGAAGAGTGAAGAGAAATCCAAGGCTGTCTATGCCAGTTGTTAGCTTTACTGTAACTCTGCTCTGTCCTTTCAAAGTTATAAAAAGTGCTTATGAACTCATTGTGGTGAATAATTTCTCAGAATGCAAAAGTTAAGTGAGCAGTAACTCTGGACCACTACAAAGAGTTAAGATGATAGGGTATTGTATCACTATGGCAACAGTCCTAATTTGAAAGCTGTTGAGAGAGCAGGCATTTCCTCGGGTTCACCGCAGTTGAAGTCTGGACTGCGTTTGACCCACATCCCTGTTTCTCCCCAGACGCTGACCCACACAACACTGAGAGCAGCTGAGAGGGAGGGGGAAAACAACATGGCCGGTAACCCAGATACAGAAGAGACCCCCAGCGGATTGATGGATCGCAGCGGCAGTTTCTTCAAGGTTTGACTTCAATTGAACTTGAGGGCAAATCTTTTTTTTTTTTTTATCAATATGGTTTTATTGATTTTAGGCATGTTATTTTATGGTTTATGGTTCAAGGAAAACTAATGCAGTGAAGCTACGTATAAATAAAACAAGTGGTTGTGTAATCCCTCACTTATCCAGATAGGAAAACAATTAGGGAAAAAAAAACTTTAGGGACATCCATTCCAAACTGTAAATGCAAGGCTAAAGTCTTATAGGTAACGTTTTCATACATTTACAAATTCTTGGTAATGTATGAATGGTAATAGTATGAAAATATTTAAATGTACATATTTACAAGTTTTTTGTTATATTGTAGGCTATACCTGCTTTTGGAACATACATTCTAAAGCATGAATGTAAACTTGGCAGGCTAAAACACTAGAACTAACTTTCACTGCTATAGGGAGCTCAGCTCAATTCTAAAATACATTTATGCATGATTATGTATTTAACCACTTAATCTCAGGTTTTCTAATAAGTGAAATGGCTTGTTGCTCTATACTGTGCATGTTATTCTTCAACAAAAATCACCATCTACCTTCTGTTTGTGTTTTGCTAAAAATATCCAGATTTCTTGCAGGTGTCCAGTTTTCAGGCCATAATGAGCAGTGCAGTTTTCCCTTCCTTTTTGAGACTGTGAAAGCACTTTGTTTAAGCCCCTGTGCTAAACCCAAACACATAGTTTCCTTTTGACAGCATGGTTCAGTGGCAGCTCAGTCACACTGCACTTTCACATAAACGTTTATAAATCTAGTAGTAAGGGGCTTTCAGTATTCTATACAGGCTACAGCAATAAAGGGGCTGATGATATTCATTTACTTACTTACTTACTTGTGTCATTGTACTTTTCTAGCAGCATACTTACAATTTTATTGAAGTGACAGTACTCTGACTTCTAGGTAAATGTTTTGGTTGCACTTCCCACTGTGACTAAGAATGCAACTGACATTACAGTTGTGTTTAATTTCTCGATTATTTTCTGGTTTATTTTTAAATACCAGACGTGCATTATTAAGGGTTTGTCCTTCAATTTGCACCGACTTAAACAAATGCTACGTTCATAATGGATATGGGGCATGCTTTGTCACTAATACACATTATGTTTGTTTTCTTTTTCAATATCTCTTGAAAAATACCAAATAATCAATATAGGATTATGGGCTTTCTGCTATTTGACGTCATCATTCTAGAGTCAGAGTATCCATGGGATAAACTGGACTGTTGCAGAAAATAAAAACACATAATAGCAATAGTCTATTCTTTTGAATGGTTAAAACTCAAAAGTACTACAAATTATGTGCATAATATGAAAAAGTACTGTGAAAAATAATAAAAATATTATAAAAAGCAGCATAGGACACTTGCTTAGAGTGAGAAATAAATGAGTATTGTCAAGACTTACTTAAATCCTTGAAAATCTGTAATCAAATAAATATTACAGCATCCACTGACACATGCTGATTTCCCTGTTATGAGTTTGGTGCTGTAACACTCCTCCTGATTCTTTGCCCAGAGCCAAACTATCCTTTCTACACTGACCTTCACTTTATCTACAAGAGCCTTCCCTGTTTCCTGCTTGAGTTATGTTCCTACTACACTTTTTCTCTACACAAGTAACAGTAGAGGCTTTGTTTAAGGCTGAACTAACCTGAGAGCACCTGAATTTGAGGCTACCCACTTTCATCCTAATTAAAGGTACCATAAATTATTTACTACAATTAAAAGGGACACTGTGTAACTTTTTTGAGGCAGGGTCCACTATTTGCTGTGTTTGTGGAGATGCTTTGCCATTTTCCTGTAAGGTTCCAAAGTACAGCATTAAGCGTATCTGTATCAAGGTCTAAGTTAAGTTATTAAACAGAAACTAGTATCGAAACGAGATACTCTTTTGAGTAGGTATCAGTACTAAAAAAAGTCACATTCACAGGTCAAAAATGAATCTGAATACACCCATGTACCACTATGCAACATACTTGGATAACTGACGGATTACACCAATATAGGACAGCATGGTAAAGTGCTATGATTTAATGTTGAAAATCACCTTCTACAGTCTACAGAGAGAGTGTTTTTAAATATCATTGTGGTATCGGAATCGTTATTCACTATCAATCTATTTCTAATATAGATCTCATGTTGCATTGCCATTCTGTGTAGACTAAATTCCTCTCCAAGTTTTTTTTTTTTTTTTTTATGTAAATGTGCATATCATTTGCTTGAGTGGCCAGATTTCTTGTTTTTTCCCAGCACCAGTGCAGCTTGCAGTCTTACACAGCTGGTATCTGACAAAAAGCTTAAGGTTTTTACAGAACTGGCTCCACTTAGTCCAGGAAGGGGGGCAAAGGAGGAGGAGACTGGCCTGTACGATTATTGGAGGGGAAGCCAGTAAAAGAGGTCCTCCTAGTGGCTAAAATTTGTAACAACAACCTTATTGAAATTCAGAGTATTATAAGTATAGATTGCTATATAGCTTGATATTGTTTCAGCCCATGTTCGATCATCTTTGAAAGGTATTATTGGCATTATTTGTAAGACAGTATTTTGCATACATGTCAGTCTTTGCCAATCAGAGTAGAGTATGCTTATTTCAACATCTGTGTAGCCCCGGGAGTGCTGTAAACAGTGGAATAAAGGAATGTGGATAATGCAGAAAAACCCCAACAAATGAAACTAATTAGGCCTGATGTTGTTGTTGCAGTGAGGTTATTTTTGGTCAGATAGTTTCATTGTTTGGACATGCCTTTTAGTGTCTCTTAACGGGCCTCACCGTTGGATCTAAAGTTTGACCCTATTTGGAGTGTTATATTTTCAAGCTTCAACAGTTGTAAATTACTTTTTTCATCCGCCAATGTGAAACTTTGGCTTCCAAATCACTGAAGTAACTAAGGAAAAACATATGAAATATAATAAACATGACAGCATAGAGGACTGGCAGTAAAATAAAAAGATAATTCATTTTAAAGCCTATTGAAACAAATTGTATGCTCTCTTTCATAATGCCACACAAACATTTATAAATCAGTATATTAACTATCCCTTCACTGCACATGTCCTATCATTGAAAACAACCTGGATATATTTATTCACCCTATATAGAAATTGGACTTGCATAAAAACATTAATTAAAATGAATTATGAAAGGCTTGAGTTTCAGTTTACGGTATAGAGGAAGTGAGCACTTGGCTAAGATATGACTAATTCTTTCACTGTCCATTGTTTGAAAACTGACCATTGAAGCCATGCTGTTAGTCTCAATTATTTGGAATGTTCTGCATTTTATCTTACGTCTGGTTTTGGACGTATTCAAGTTTATGTTTTCGTCATGTCTGCAGCTGATTGATACTTTTGCACTGGAGCTTGGGGAACTAAAGAAGGAAATGGTCAAGAAAGAAGTGGACCAAGAGACACTGGACATAACTGCGTGAGTAGTTCCGCATGTTGATTTGATATTTCATACACATACACATACACATACACATACACATAAACATACACATAAATTTTTCATAGACATTCAATCCAATCCAATTTACTTCTAAGCACATTTTACAAACAGAGATCATCTCCTAAGTGCTACACATAGATAAATGAAATCAAAAAGACAAATGAAGACATGACAGTAGGTGGGTAGAGTAGCTGAAAACTGTACCAAAGTATGAGTACTGTAATACTAAATAGTCTTTTATTCACGTAGGGGTAAAAGAAGGGTGTCTGGAACTAACTAACTGAGTGTGACCCACTTCTGGACATGACAATACATATAGTTAGCAAATAAGCAACATACTAATATGAAGAAGAGCAAATTGTAAAAATTAAGTGCCAGTTAATTAAAGTTTTTAATATTATCGTGTTGTTTACCGTTTACATTTTGTGAAAGAAATGGTTAAGAAAAGGCTAGAGTAGGATTGAGAGACACTGAATGTTACTGGGTGGGTGAGCTGTTCCACATGCTGTTTTAACCTGGACTATGAACTTGACCGAATAAGGGAGGATTAGGATCTGTGCCAGTCAAAGCAAGATTCAAGACAGTTACAGGATTCTCATGATACACAGTCTTCTCTACACTATTGTAACTATATGCAAATAGTTTATAAGTATTATAATCACATAGGAGGTGTATTCATTATTGCTGTCATCTCGTCCATCTTGTGAGGCTAAAAGGTCGCTTACAGCGATGGTCATGAGATGGCAGTAAGTCATTTTTACCAGCAGAGGGGGCTACAGAGTTTATTTTGTAAAATAGTACTAAAAAGGATGATTTAGGCAACTTGTACTAAATAGAGGTATAAAGGCATTTAATTTAACACACAATTTCTCCCATAGAAATCACACTCTAGGTTTGTTATTGATCTTTAATTTCTTAAAACACCCATGGCCATTAACACAACTGCCTCCTCTCTTAGTCATATCAAATAAAAATAAAACTTCACATTGACATTGGAGTAAACAAATGAGATGCTGATGTGCTAATAAATAGGGGTGCGCAAAAATATTGAAACATCGATATATCGTATCATTTAATGTGATGATACAGTATCGATATCGTGAGCTGCTGTATCGATGTATTGCCATGCTTATTTTTGGGAATATATTTTGCTAAATTATTTTGTTACAGTGCTACAGTTTTGTTGTTTGTTTAGAGGAAGGAAACTCGTTTATGCAACACTTTTAACACTTCACTGTTATGATGATTAAAATGGGTATGTTTCATATTCACTTTACACAAGAGGTGGTTTAACAAAGACTTTTAGTATCACAGCCATGATTTAGCCATTATTTTTTATTGAACTGTATTGAATCGATTTGAAATATATCGTATCGAACGTATCAAAAGTGCACAGTATGGAGATATGTGTCGTATCATGGCCTATGTATTGAGGTATGTATCGTATTGGCAACTTCCTAATTATACCCAGCACTACTAATAAATGTTTGCCACACTTTTCCCTGTAGTTATTTAACTTAATCCTCAGAATTTAGTTGAGATTTCAAGTGGCACTAGTTCTTTGTTCTTACTTTGTCATACTTAAAGTAATTTCTTTTTTGATTGAAGATAATGCATTATATTGTGAGATTGTGCACATTGTTTTTCTCTTCCTCTCATGCCACCTATTGCTGTATGTGGTTCTCTGGTATGCTCTGGTGTTTGGTCATGACTTGATGAAAGGTGTGGTCGTCTTCACAAATACTTATCAAGTATGTGCTTCTCTGTCTCTGTCTCTCCCTCTGCCTCTTTTTCAGTTTGGACAGAGACATGAGCACTGTTCACCTGGAGCCTAGTCACCGTGGCGATACCGGAGGTGAAAGGGACTCAGGGTATGATTCTCTGAGGCGGAGGATGAGTGTTTTGGACAGATTGACACAGACACACACAGTTTGGCTTCTTTTGTGTCTAAGTGAGGAGGAGGCGGGACATATCCTGCTCCAGCAACCTCCCGGGGTAAGAAAGGCAAAATATCAATGTTTACCTTAATAATTCTAGCCTTTAATTTTCAAGGTGCACTGTGTAACCTTTCCGGTGGTAGCTTTGAATCCTCCACAGTATGACGACTTGTCTTTTGGCAAGTTTGTCTATCCACAGCTCCGTCCACTAACTTGAGATCATGGTGCCTCCTGATTGTCTCCATCACTGCAGGCAAATTAATAACATCTCCCTGGAGACAAGCAGGTGGCAGATGCCCTCTACCGGAAAAGTTACATAATGGACCTTTTTTTGTTTTCATGACTTTTTAATCTTGCACAGTGCTTTAAACTTGATATTAGTTTGTATTATTTGTGCTACATAAGAAAAGAATGCTATTATTATGGCTATTGTTTTGATAGCTTTAACCAGTGTATTTATTGCAGCCTGGTGGTCTTAGCCAGGAGGTTGTGGGTTAAATGGCGCCTGCATGCCCTGCCTGTGCTATTGTGGGTTCTTTCCAAAGACATTTGCCTGAGGGTTTTAATTATGAGAGTACATAGGCTTTTGCATAACAGTAGTTTTCTTTCAGAATATATTGAACATTGGGCTCATAGCTTACAAAACTCCTGAATAGTCCAGACCATACAGTCAAATAACATAAACTGAATGGTTGTTCCTCACATTATTTCTGATTCTGTAGCTTTGTGCTGCAGGTGTTTTTGGTGTGCAAGTCCCCCGCTCTGCAGAGGAAAGTGCTCTTAGTGAGATTAAAGGAGGACCAGTCTGAAAACCCCATCAGCCACTTTCCGGTCAGAGAGAGCCAGTACAGTAAGTACTAATGCTAGGCCCAGACTGTGCTAAAATCCTTCAGAGGTTTGTTCAACACTAAGAACAATAGCTACATTTCCTCAATAAAGTTTCCATTGCATGAACACTATTAAAAGTGCAATAAAATCTCTGAAATCTCTGGGAATTTTGTGGCTCAACGATCACACCCTCTTCACCTATTTGAATCCAGCCTTTCATTCCTATTTAAAATATTTATTATGGTATAGTAATAGATTACAGTAGATTATATTTTACAGAATTTGATCTACATGGGGACAAGAATGTGATGGACCCTCTACTAGAAAAGTTACATAGTGCAACTATATTTTTAATCAACATACTGTATCTTTTAATATTGTATGTCTGATTCAAATGTAGCGCAGACAGGGTCATTTGAGAGGAGTGTGTGATGACATGCACCAGCTGTGAGCTTTTACTGCTCAGAGACAAACCTCAGTCCCACAGGAGGGGGCGCTGCCTTTGGCCTGATTTAGCCTCTGAATGTGGGTCAGCTGGCAACAGTTGGTCTCACTTCACCACTTACTCTCATTTTACAAAATCAGTTATCACTACACTTAAAACTACAAATGACTTTAGGATAGCATTGACAATAACGGCCTGTATTTAAGCGGGCGGGAAATTATTTCACATTCAGTACATTGATGGGTAGAGTAGCTAAACATTGTACTGAAGTAAAAGTACTATTACATTGCTATATATATATATATATATATATATATATATATATATATATATATATATATATATATATATATATAATTTTTAAATTAATAAATAAATGCCCAAACACCAGTTAAAACTTTTGCCGTTGTTGTATTGTATTTCCCATTATTTGTTGCTGTCCTTCAAGCTGGGGCAGTAACACTCAAGTAGAAGTACAAGGTAGTGGTCCAAGAAGTTAATGTAATTGGAATGTCAAACATCTGGTATTTTCTGACAGAAATGAGAAAAACAAAATCATATGCAAAGGACTAATAGTGGAAACACAAATGTTCCAATCATTTAAACTTAAGGCTTGTGTCACTTGTAAACTCACAGTGAGAAGAGTAAACAAAACTTTTATTACATCAGTAAAGAACTATATAAGCCTGTTGAAATTCTTGTGGTACACCTAACTCAAAGCCAAGACTAAGCCAACTACAGGATAAATGGTGTCACAATATTTTACATGTTTTTGTTTTCACGGGAGGTAAATAAGCATTTAGTAATTACCACAATTGTAGTAATACTTTTGTAAAAAATAAAATGTATTCGTAATAAACTGTATTGTCTTTTTCTTCACAGCTTTTTCCCTTGAGGGCTCAGCTATTAGTTTTGCAGACCTGTTTCGCCTTGTGGCTTTCTACTGTATAAGCAGGTAAATAATTGTTTCACTATACACTTTAAAGATAATTACGATAATGACTGCTGTATTTCCCACACGGCTTAGTAGAAGTGAATTTTATTAAACCCATTCTGTCAACATCTATTATTCTCTCTCTTTAATCCTTAATCAGTCATTTTAAAGCTCCACTGCATTACCAAGTTATTAATCACATCTATAGAGAGACAAGCCTGCTTGCAGTAAAGACACAAAAAACTAATTTATTGACTTAAATGTTGCACAGTGAGGCTTTAAACGTGCACTTGTGTAACTTTTCCTTTTGCTGGGTGTCCATATTCTTGTCTCCAGTCCACAGAGATGTTTTTCCTGTAATATTGTACAATATGGCAGTAAAGTCATCCACCTTACATCTAATGGGACAGTAGCATAGTGAGTGTTTGTCCACTGACCCACAGGTTGGCAGTGCAAATCCAGCCCACACATATGAATGCTGTTATTGTGTCCTTGGGCATGACACCTCCTCACCCTCAATGTCTTTGTACACTGGTGTGTGAATGTGTGTGAATGGGTGAGTGCCTTGAAGGTGGAAAAGCACTATATGAAAAAAAATGTGTGAATGTGGTATGTGATGAACATTTTTACTATGAGCAGGATTGCTTCTCCACAATTCTAACCTGTAACTTGGCCTAGTCTTGTCACCTACATATTTCCATGGCAATATATATACACATTTAATGCCATATGCGCTAGAAAAGTTACACAGTGCACATTTAAGGATAGTGTTGTTAAATTTTGGTAATGGGGTTGTCTACTGTGTTGTTTTGATTAATGTTTTGGTGACGGACTCTCACTTCTTGTTTTATCCCATGCCATATTCTCAGGAACAGATGGATCACTTCAAACTACTACATACACAGGAAACAGAGGGGAGGCCATTTGGTTTTTCTTCTTAAAACTATGCCATCATCACTTTAGTTTGGGGTTGTTTTCTGTTGTTATTGCAATGATCAAAGAACCGGCCAGTGTTTTGTCAGCACTATATACTTTCATAAGCGCTTGTCCTCCATTTGTCACTTCCTTCTCCTTTCATATTTTTGTTGTTGTAGTAAAAGTATAAAATCTGGTCAAGGTTGTCAAAATGATGTTGTGTATGGCCTACTCATAAGTTCAAATACAGCCGTGATTTTAAAAACAGACTTTAGAAACTGGTGTAAAGTGTAAAAGTGTACTCATATTTCACTTAAATTACACAGTTAGATTATTAGGGAATAACAGACTAATACTTAACCAATGAGAGAATAACAGTTATAACGGGGTCATTATGTTATCAGGTCAAATTGGTCAGGGGGACTTAAACGTTCAACATAGCAACATATGGTATTGCCTATCCAAGCTCTGGTGATGCCTTCATGTGAAGAATTTAAGTAACCTCTCTTGTGTGTCATATTGAGGGACTGTGCATAATCAGAAGACTACATTAGACATTAAGATATATTTTTATAGCTTGACCATACTGAACACCTTGACAGAGAGAGAGGAGAGTGTGAGACATACCTGGCTATTGAATGTGTGCACTTGTTTCATAGAGTTATTATCGCAGCACCCACAGGACTCGTATCTGGGTGACATTGGGTGAAGAGGATGCTTCATTTGTCATAAGTCTCACTGTATATATACATTTAAAACGAGCCTGCAGGGGTGCTGTCTTGTGAGGGCTGGGATGGGAGGAAGAGAAGGAGCTTTTTGTGTAGCTTATAAAAGTCATGCCACAGCATTGCTCCTTCGATTTTTTAAAATTCACACAACATGGCATTGTAGTCTATTTATCTTAGTGTATTATTCTATGTTTATGTATGTTTTTATTGTCATGTTGTACGTAGCTGCTACGCTGTGCAATATACATAAAATCAACTTTTTTTTGTTTAGTGTCCAAATGTGAGCATAGACTACTGCATGGCCTTTCAGTTATGTTTTAATACCTTGACTGTGGTTATTTATTTACAGGGATGTGTTGCCCTTTACACTCAAACTCCCAGAAGCCATTGCATCAGCCAAGACACAGAAAGAGCTGGAGGAGGTGTCTCAGCTCGGGCCAGGTAAAATCTGATTTGTTGCTCCACATTTTGAATGATGCATGAAGTGACCGTTAGTGTTGCAAAACCATTAAGATGTGCCTCTACTATATCGGAGCTTTAGGGAATGACTTATCAGGTTCATGGACTCACAGTGATTTGTTTCGGTGTTCACTGAATTAAATCTTAGATAATTATACTCTATATTTAGGTTTAATTTGGAGTATGTTCAATTTATTCACTTTTTCTAAAACGTACAGCAATTTTCTGAAGTTCTAGTTACAATTAAAGTTATTAGAATTATAGTGTGACCTGAATAATAAACCAATAATCTTGACTAGGCCTGTAGACCTTTAGTCGTTTAGTCTAATCAGTTTACTGATAAGGATTTATATGGGACAACAGCAAAAAGAGGAAGTGATTGAGTGAGTTTGCTGAAGAGTTAAATAAATAAATAATAAATACAATACATACTTTACATACAAGTACTTTGCTTGAATAGTTATTTTTAAATGAACTCCAATGCAGTCTTGTGACTGCAGTCTAGGTCAGATACATAAAGATGTATAATAATTTTAAGAGCACTTGCCACACCCTTTTAAGCAGAACATGGTTTTAGTCAATAATTTCTTTAGTCAACTATAGCCCTAAATGCCCTGGAGCACTGAAAAAGTTAAAATGTTATATGCAGTTACAAATATATAGCAGCTTTTCATTCCAGAATTAAATATAGACCTGGATACAGTGACTGGGGGGGGTAGTACATCATTTATGTTGACCAAAAATAAAATACATCTACATTTACCAGTGTTAAAGTTTAAGTACAGAATTAAAACACTTAAATTTGATTCTTGAAAGTTCTTGCAAGTATTTTTAACTGACTTTAAAACTGGATGACTCATCTTCCTCTATTAGAAGTGTATATTACAGTGTAGCCTACCACTCAGAGGGAGCAGGGAGTGGCCAATGGAAAGCCACAGCCGCCCCAGAGAGCACTGTCTAAACACACACATACCAAAGCATTAGTAGTTTGAAAATACACAACAAGTCATGCACATACAGATGAGCAGTGTCAAATATCCATGTAGTGATATACTGCCTTTCATTCTGCTGATTGTAAGTAGGTGTATGTATTCTTCTACTTTGGCGTCACAAAGTTAAAAATGCCATTGAGGTGTTAGTTTCTTAGCAACAGTAAAACAGGGGAACTCCCATATGGCTTTAGAAGAGGCTATTTAAGGAAATCTCAGTCAGTGTTGTCTTGTATGTCAAGTTACACAGTCCACTCCCACGAACTGAAACACAAACATTCGGCAATCAGCCGAATATCAGAGTGACACTGCAAATTCTCTGTCACTCTAGTGTTTAAAGAAGATTTAAGGGATTAATTTTCACTGTGGTCACTTCTGTATTATGTTGCCAGGTGTCTTTCATTGCAGTTAAAGACATGAGAGTAATTTAGTTTCACTCTGGACTATTAGAATATTACCAGTGGTTATATTGCCTACTGTACAGCTTTGTTGATAAGACTCTCATGTATAGTTATAGTTTTGCAACAATAATATTAAAGGTGGGCTATATAGCTTTCTAGTGGAGGTAGTGGTAGTGTGAAATTAAATTAGGCATTATTACTTTGTCTTGATTGTTCCACAGTATGGCATTAAACTTACATATTTTGCATTTATTGCATAACAAATACCTTGAAAAACAGGGTTACCTCTCCACAGATACAGCATCTAACTTGGCCTGGTGGTGACGTCTGTTTTTCTCCCTGGCAGTAGATAAGTGTAATGCCATATTGTGGAACATTCCAGGCAAAACAACTCTACATTAACTGAACATCTCTGAAAACAAACAGATGAACCTTCACTATTAAGTCTTACACTATGTACAGCTCATACATTAAATTACTAAATAGAATGCAAATAAAATATATACTTTACATTTTTTTCACCTTGACCTACCACCTAGACTACAGTACAGTACATATTAATAAACAGTATACTGACATTCTGGTCCTCTTGAGCGCTCTTTTTGATACTAAATAAAAGTTTCCACTGTAGTCCTTGGGCAGGTGAAAACAGGTTACTTTTTATGAGCACCTCAAAAACTTAAGTGATAAAATGAAATATGTATTATACTCCTCTTCTATTCAATCTATTAAACACATTACACATTATACATTAACAAGTATATATAGCACACTTTGACCTGGTTGCAGTATCTGTGTCTGCGTTTGTAGTTGCAGTGTCAGGTGGTCTGCTCACATGGGGCAGGCAGAATACCACACTGTCCACTCACGAGACATTCAATCCTACTGCTCAAAGGGCTATTCTTAGACACCATTCGTCCTCAACATTACTTTCATTTTCAATATTTTATGTATAAGGTTATTGCTTTCTGAGCTGTTGCGTATTATACATAAAACAACAATTTGATCTTCTCTTTTTAGTGACTAGTTGTTAATTGTTCACACATGTTCTGTCAAGCAGTTTGAATAACTTTGTTTAGAAATCTCACTCCACACATACATTTGCCTTGGCTGTTTGAGTTTTTGACAAACATACATAAGTTATCATTTTGTAGTGTAGTCCAACACTTAGATTAATTAATTAAATAAAGTTTATTAGAGGTAATTAGTAACATTTATACACCAAAATATTGTATTAAATATGATCAAATATGGATACAAATAAATATGTACAACCACATATATCTTCATATAAACCAATGAGAAACACTGGTATTACTGCAAATTGTCTTTAAACCCTGATGTTGAATATAGGACTTTTTTTTTTTTATCATAGTTGAGAATTTATGATTGAAAATCTGGAATGCAGTCAACAGCATTTAAAGCTGAATCAAGTACAGGGGCATCAACATTAGAATAACACAGATACATAAACTGCAAACTTAAGAATCACATGTATTTTGAAACAGTAGTCTATTCATAAAAATGCCCCATGGACACTGTTCATTATATTGTTTGTGGACATTTATAATCATTTGTTTTTATTTAATTCCATTAGTTTTTTTGTATTTTCTTAATGCAACCGTTCAAAGTGCAGCTAGTCATATATTTTATTGTATTTTTCCACTGTATGTAGAGCTGTTTACTGGCTCTAAAGAATAAGATTCAATTGTGTGGTGATGACATACTGGGCATAGCTGAGGTGGGCAGCAGTTATTTGAAGCATATGGACGTAGGTCTGGATTACAGAATACACCATTGTACACAGAAACACTTTATGGCCAGACAAATGAATGGGGTTCGCATGAAAGCAGAGACTTCACTTTTCTGCTGAAGCTGCCTGGCTGTACAGTAACTGTTTAACCAGATCAAAGTACTGGCGTCATTTGAATTGGGATTTAGCAGCTAGAGGCCATTTAGTGTGTGATAGTTTTTCACAGTACTATTACAATGCACTCTGAATGTAAGATATTTGTTTTGGCAAATCCAGAAAGGAAAAGTTGCATGGGAAAAAAGATGATCCCCCTCTTGCTCATGTAAAATAAGCTTTCTAGACATTGAGTGGCCTTGGTATGGTGTGAAATGTTTGAATTAACTGTTTAGGAGTAATAAGATGTAATTCAAAATATGGCAAATTTCTAAAATGGTCAAAAATCATGTTAAACTTATGTTAAATGTTAAATGTTAATGTTACTGGGTTTCAAAACATATGACAACTTTGCAAAGGCCTATGATATTAAAAGGAGTTGGGGAGCAAAAAAGTCACATAGTTAAGAGGATATATGTTGTAATGTATTGAAACCAAGGGCCTAAAATGAATGAACAGGTTCAACATTGGTGGCTTTTCCTTTTGGATGTTTGTCCTGAATACACCATGTAATCAATAAGAAAAACTCTCCCTCTTTCCACCACTCTGTTAGTATGAGATCATCACAATCTACAATCTACTATCTGAAAACAACCAATAGCAATGTCTTTTTGTTGATATGCTGGGCCGATCTATATATATCCATAGTAATAACTGTCTGGTGTTATGTCTCTCACAGATCAGGTTCTGGAGAAGGCCATGCACAAGTGTGTTTTAAAGCCACTGAAGAGCGTCATTGATGTGATTCTAAGTGACTTCCAGGTAGGGCAAGTGACAATTTAAAATGTTACTATTATCATCACCATGGCCAAAAAACTAATAAAATCCATAATTTCACTGACACTGTCTAAACAGATTATTATTCCTTTTATTTGAGGTTGTTTTTTGTTTTTTGCCTCACAATTCCATTCCGACATAAATAATTATCTACTTTTATTAAACTTGTAATATTTGCTCAGCTGTTTTCAAGCATTTTATATACTTGAATGATGAATGCTGTTTTATACAGACTTGTTTGTCTCTTTGCTACCAGGATTTGCTGTAAATTTGCAATGGAAATCCTATTAATTTGCCTTGTCTACATTGAAAGTGACCTAAACATTGAAACTTGTTGGTAAAACCTGTGTCAGACTATAACATAGTTTGACACTTTTATTTTGTCCCATGCAGAAAAGCAGTGGTGGTTGGCAGCAGCTGAAGGAGAACCTGGCCCTGGCGAAGTCCAAACGCCCACAGGAGCTGGGCGTGGACGGGGCTGCAGTACCTCCAGATGCTGTGGTCATAGAAAAGATCAGACACAAGTTTATGAACATGAGAAAGATGTACTCACCTGAGAAAAAGGTCTCCCTGCTGTTGCGGATATGCAAACTTATCTACACTATCATGCAGGACAACTCAGGTACATGTTATTGAATATAACATCCATTTGGTATCAGGTTGTACAGTGTAAAGGGGATGCACCACCAAAAAATTAAAGATGTATTACCTTTTCTGGTAGAGGGTCTACAGCCTTTTTCTCAAGCAACCATATTTCCAGAAAAAAACAAAAAACAAAAAAAAACAAAAACAAAGTGGTGGATCCACAAGCTGAACATACTGTATGTATTATAATATTTCCTAAAACAGGGCAGCAGTACTTTAGTGGTTAAAGTGCCCATCAACCTGAAATTTGGCAGTTCAATCTCTTCAACCAGCATGCTGTCATGGGGTACTTTTGGCAAAACACTTTCCATGATGTATGTGGTGACTACCATCAAGCTTGTAAAAAGAAAAAACAACAGGTTAACAATGCATTGATAATTGTTGCTATGACAACTAATGCTTAATAAATATACACAATGTGCATCGCTAATAGTACCAAATTTAGACCAGGTTATCCCTCATTTTGACCACTGCGGTATCTGTTTCCTCACAGGGAGGATGTTTGGAGCTGATGACTTCCTGCCCATGCTGACCTATGTCTTGGCCCAGTGTGACATGCCTCAACTGGACACAGACATCCAGTACATGATGGAGCTGCTGGACCCCTCTCTGCTTCAAGGGGAAGGTAAAATACTGTCAACTAAAACGGCAACACATTATACATTGTTACATTATCTCAAATGTATAATGTGATACATACTGGGTGTTGTTGTACAGCTACATAGAAACAAGACTATGATTTTAAACATTTTTGACATAGCAGAGAGTGACATTTTAGAAACACATTCAACCATTTAACTATTTTTGAAGAATTTCACACTATACAGACAATTAAGAGAAGACCGTAAGAGATGATAAGAGAACTTTTATTTGCCTTCCAATGTGGAAATTTCACTGTTACAAAAAATAGTGGAAGTATAGAAATATAGAGTCATGATGCATAATTAATTAAAGAAATAGATGTGAATCCAATAATGTACTTAAAATATGCTATAAATACTATACTATAAAGAAAAAATATATGTATGTAAATATATATATGTAGTAGAAAAACGTATGAATTTCAAACTGTATGGAGCCTTTTGACATCATACGGTTTAGTTCCTTCAAAGATATTCGATAAATGTCAAAAACATAGGGACAAATGTAATTGTCCATTTCATAGTGTAGTGAACGTAACATCATAGCACTTCATCTGAGCACCCCTACTTTACTTTTCCATGATGTAACTGTGTTAGAGTTGACACTTCCTGAAAAACTTCACAGTGAGGTGTGAGTTTCCGGGCTGATGAAGGCCTTAACCTGGTGAAAGGAAAGTCTGTCCTAGAGGCATTTAGTGGAAATTACACAATGATGTTATCATAGAAAAAGAATGGGAAAGCACAAAGACACAGGGGCTGGACATGTGGACAGATATAAAGTAATAATAGTTTTTAATAAAGTGCACCAATTAAATTACAATTTGGGACAGGCGCAGTGCAGAACCAACAATTGCTTTTTTGTTTTGTTAATTCCACAAACCAAATTGGTCTCAAATTTAGTAGAAACATGTGATTGGAATTTCATTAGGTCTTATTAGATGTTTGTAGCCTGTATGCATTCATGTATTATTTTTCATCTTTTGTACAGGAGATCCTGAAGGTTATTTATAAATCTTGATTAGAATGATTGGAATTTCTAAGAAGTACTTTGCACCTCCTCCCATTGTAGATTAATGGAACTTTTCAGTGAGTAGGTGGGACATTTTTATGTCAGAAGGAAATACCAGAGTGAGGACTGAATGAGCTGGACCAGGTTCAGAGAAAAGTGACGCCCAACAATATTTTCCAATGAGCGTCACCCTGTATGCCAACGTAACTCATATTCACCTTGAAATTACAAGTTATAAAAAGTCACAATTCTCTTATCTAACTTTATGTAACCAGATAAGAATATATTGAGTTCATTAATGTTGTTTTAAAGGTGACTTTGAGAAGAGGTCATAGATCTGACTGACCTGGGCATACAAACTTGAGACTTGTAGTTCTTGGGCACAGATTAGTTCAGCAACCACATCTGCCGGTCTGGCCCAGGGCAACTGTGACAAAGTTGTATATTTTAGCCTAATAATGTTGATATTTTAACCTAGTCATTTTGTCCTGTCTACAATGAAATGTTATAGAAAATGCTAAACCATGATACTTTATGGTTAAACTTAATAGACTTGACACATGGGGGTGTAAAGTAACTTATTACAAATACTCACATTACTGTAATTTAGTTGATTTAAAAAAAATAATAATAATAACTTTTTAAATAGATTTTTATCTTGTACTTATAATTGAATATAATTCTAATCATGTAATTGTAATTGTAAAATCATATGGGTACTGACTACAGCACGGGTCTTGCCGCTGTATCTAAACCAACACACACACAGCCCTGCAACACTTGTTCTATATAGACAGAGCACATTCAGCTCTAAGCTTTTCAATTATTTTAAATACTGATTCAAATTGCTGCTTAAAAATAACTATAGTGCACTAACATGCCAGTAGTATTAGTACCAGTAGTACCAGTAGTATTTTATTTTCCTTATACTTTCTATTTTAGAAACAGAACTTGTAATAGAATCACTGTATAGCCATGTAATTGTAACTTTTACTCATGTAAATGTAAAACATTTTCACAATTTGCTCTGTTAATTTGTTCCATGCAATTAAGCAGTGTGTTCAGAAACTACAATTTGATTCTTACTGAATACAGTTTTTTAAGTTGTCCTCCCTCTTCTGTTTGTTCCCCTTTAGGAGGCTACTACCTGACCAGTGCGTACGGAGCCATGTCTCTGATTAAAAACTTCCAGGAGGAGCAGGCGGCCCGGGTTCTGAGCTCTGAGACCCGGAACACGCTTCACCAATGGCACCAGAGACGCACTGCCCGTCGATCTGCGCCCTCTGTGGACGACTTCCAGGTATCACGCCTGACCTGAACCCACCATGAACAACCAGGCAGTGAGTTACAGTTGTGCCAATTCGTAATCAAACCGAAAGCTACCGCCTATGGGGAAACAGAAAAGTGCATGGCGATTAATTCACAATAATTAACAGCAACAAAGATGATCACTAACCCCCAACAATCCCAGCATGTGCATTACTTTTGTTTAATTTGCTAAAAGCTCCCTCATGGATAAGAGTGTAAGTGCATGTTTCTTCTTTTTTAGTTTAGCATATATTGTTTGTTTTTAGTTTTGTTTTTTGTTTTTTTTCAGCACAGGTTTATTTTAAAGCATCTATTTAAAGGTGTACTATGTAACATTTCTGGTAGACGGACCACCATTGGCTTGTCTGTTGATGTTATAGCTTTGCCTGGGATGTTCCATGTAAACGTATCTATTTTTCTTGCATTTATTTCTATTAGGTGTTTTTACATTTGCATTATGGCTGGGAGCAAGCTTACTTCTCCACAGATCTGATCTGTGACTTGGCTTGGTTGCTTACCGGCTTGTTTCCATAGAGAGCAATTTGATCTTGTTTTACTCTGCATGCATCTTATTTTTATTACTCTTTTATGTTTGCATGGACTACTTAAATACTTAGTTTGTGGCAATGGCATTAATGCTACACTGAAGTGAGACGCTTCAGTCAAATATACCATTTTGTTTGACACCACAAATATTAAAGGTCCTATATTACTTAAATAGATTCTTATGAGCTTTCAATCATGTTAGAATGTTATTACCTCCTCAAAAACATTGCCAAAGTTGTGTTTTGTTTCACTCACACATCCTTCCTTCTGCCTCCATCTCCAAAGCTAAAAATGCTCTGTTCCACCTTGTGATGTCATGAAGCTGTAGTTTTCAAATTAACAGCTACCTTTTACCTTTAGTTTACTAGAGATTAACAGTTCCACGGTTGAAATTATCCAAAGTATTCTAGTGAAAGTGCACAGAGTTTAAAAACACAGTGGACAATAACATCACAAGGTGGAACGGAGTGTTTTCTGAGAACTCTGCCTAAGTATGCAGGAATTGTGTGTTAAACATGCACGAATGAAGCAAAACAAAACTCCAGGTATGTTTTTGACAAGGGAACAACATTCTAACATAGATCAGAAAATGGAGTAATATCGGCCCTTTAAAGATGAAAATGAAAAATAGCATGTTTTTTTCTTGTAAAAAATCTAAATAATAATCTTGCTTGATTCTGAAAGCCCTCTTACTTTAGACTCAAATATTGTTTTGTTTTTGCAGAACTATCTCCGCGTGGCCTTCCAAGGAATAGACACAGGATGCAGCCAAAACTCTCCTAGTACATCCCTACAACACGACTGAAGAGGTGTGCTCCCTCTGTGCGTACAAGTTCAAGATCTCAGACCCCGAGAACTATGCCTTGTTTTTAGTTACGGAGGAAACAAGCCAGCAGCTCGCCCCTGACACACACCCTCAGAAAATCAAGTCAGAACTGCACAGTCGACCATGGACACATGTTTTCCATTTTGTCTACAGGAGGATACCCAATCTCAACTTGTGTATGCCGGCGGTTATTCACAATGGTAATGACTTTCAATAGCAAAAGTTTAAAAAGGCACTTAGTAAGTTTTGATATGACATGTTCTATAAGTAAGTTTTGAAGGCAGAGTTAGGTATGTTTTAATGCAAATGTATGTACTTAATTGAAAAAGCTGGGGGAAAAAAATAAGTTTGATTGGGCTTAAAATTGCAAGTTTTCTAGCAGGGGTTCATCTCAGCTCGCCTTAGTAGAGATGTTATTTATTACTTTGCCTGGAATGTTCCACCACATGGCATTAACGTATCCATCCAAGCCTTTATTGCCAACATTAAACAGTGGGCACCTGACCTACAACTTGGCCTGTTAATGCCACCTGTTTGTCTCCATGGTGATATATATTATTATTCCCATACTGTGCAACATTTTAGGCAAAGTACCACCATCTCCATGAAGAGAAGCTGCATTCTCCATCAGAAAGGTTGTGAACCTATAGTAATACCACAAAAATCAGTCAGAATGATTATTTCAATATTATGGGCAGTGCCGTGTATATGTTCAGGGGAAATGATGTTGGGTGACTTTTATACAAGATTGTTAATGGAGTATTGGATTGGTTTATGCCTCATAACCTGGGCTCGAAGGCTCAGAATCAGATTTTATTCACACTCCCTGTAAATGTACTGTATGAACTATGAGATGTCCTCAGTCTACTTTAACGCAACTTTTGACTTAACAGTGTTTCATGAGCTGAGTAACTGTTTATATCAAATAGACCAATAGTATGTCATAGTATGTCATCAATGGCTTAAATGTTTCATTTGGACATGGACTCCATTTAAATCTGAATTCAATTGGTCAGGATTATAACACTAAAGAAATGGAGACTAAATATTTATCTGTATATTGCTATGAACTGTAGTGATTTGAAGCTAGCACAAGCAGCTAGTGTTTTAGTCTCATTTACACTGCTTTACTTCTCAGTGCAGTAATGGCAGAATGGTGGGCAAGTCTTTGCGCCCTCTGCTGGTCACTGTGGCACTGTGGATTTTCCCCATACATCTATTCTAGATCATTTTAAGGTGTAAATTTACTGTACAATATCTATGCTATAGTGCCCAAAAACTAGTTGAAAAAGCCTGACAAATGTACAAATATATGAAATAAAACATTGCATTATATAATCTCTAGGCTACCAATTAAATTAAAAAGAAAACAATATTTCCGTTAACTGCTGCTGTCCAAGGAGCCTTTAAATAAACTAAAAATGCTGAATGCTACTGCTACTTAGATATGAGACAGATAACACAGGGCTAAATGATTAAAGATCATTTATAAAATTGTAAATTATTATGATTTATTTGATTATCATTATTATGTTCTTGCAATTGCTGGACAATTGTAACATGTTTCTACAAAGAGGTATTTTTATATTAAAATCTTTTTCCTATGATGTCATTTTGTAGGTATCAATACATACCATTTCTATCAAACAAAAATGACATAGGCAGTGTGCTTTTTAGATTTCTCAGTAAAACAGATGTGTGTACTGATGTTTAAAACAATATATGTTTTGTTTTGGATTTTCTGTTTCAATCCAATAAACCAAGAGACATGATGTATGGTTGTTTACAGCTTGAAGCACTTCACTGTATTCATAATTTAATTTGGAGTAGATGAGTGTAACCATAGATCTACAAATCTACAATCTACAAATGTTGATCCTTAATTTTGGAGGGACTGGGCCGACAAACTGTGTGGGCTACATATAACTAAATACTGTACAGTGCTTTCTATATTCCAAACACATTTATTTTATATATAATTTAAATATTGTGTGTTTCACTGTGTTTGAAACCACTGCAAAGGAGAAATTGTTGAATAAGTTTAGCAGCTCATCTAAGCTTACTGAATGTAAGTTCAGTTCTGAGAACTGAAGAAGTGAAGTCGATCACGACTCAGGGGTTACAGTGTGTTTAAAAGAAATTATTTATTTTTAGTTAAATTGCCTATTTACATTTTTTTTTTCCATGAGTTTTAACTGAACTTAACAACATGAAATAAAATACGCTACAAAATAAAAAACTGAGGAAAAAATTTTTTGAGAAGCATCAAGTCATCTCAAGGTTCATGTACGATGTCGAGTCCATTTTATCAAGTCATCAAAATAGTGGCCTTAACATATGTTCTGGCTAAGAGTTCCCTCTAGTGGAACATTTTGTTATTACAGGTCACTGTCTCTATTCTAGTACACTGTAGTCCCTTCCTTAAAAAGCCCATATTTCTGTTTTCGGATCTATGTTATAATGTTTCTACATCAAAAATATACCTGGAGTTTTGTTTTGTTTCATCCACACATGTGTTACACAGTTTAACCGTAAATATTTAGGCTGAGTTCTTCTCCGAAACTGAAAACTATCTGTTTCACCTTGTGATGTCATGTAATAATACAAGAAGTGGTCTACTGTTTTTTTTTTTAATCCCATACATCTTCACTAGAATCATTTGGATAATTTTAGCCCTGAATTACCAACCTCTACTGAAGAAAAGGTCAAGTGTAGCTGTTAACTTGAAAACTATCCCTTCATGACATCATAAGGTGGAACAAAGCATTTTGAGCTCTGGAGATGCAGACAGACAAATAATGCAGGGTTATTCAAACGTGTGAATGAACACAACTCCAGGTATGTTTTTGAGGAGGTAGCCTCAGAACAGCTCACATGAGTAGGACCTTTAAGTAGATGAAAATGAATCATATATGTTTGTATTGTCTTCCATTGTCCTAGGCCAGTAGAAATAGACATAATCTTATCAGTGACATATTTGTGAGACTTTTTCCAAATTGTGATACAAATGTGCGTGTTCATTGAGGAATGCAAGGTCGTAGGATGGCCACCAATGAGCATTTAGATGTTTAATCACCTGACCAGTGGGAGGCAGCCTACCGGGCCCAGAAGAAGAAAAGCGCAAAGTCTGATGTTGAGTTTCGATTTCTGAGGTAAGTTTTACAAACTACTATTTGTATTTGGCACATATTCCAAGCTTACGTGGGCTGTATTGCATTATGCATGGGAATAATTTTAGATGTTTTAAAGCTATATCCTATTTACTTAGTACTTCGGGATCCCGTTCCACA